TCACTGACCCTACCTTTGAGTCCACTGCTGCGTCTGCTCTAGTCGCTGAGCTTGTTGACTTTGCTGCCGCCTGTCGTCTAGACTACGCCGCTAGCCTTGTTGCTGAGTCTGAGTCTGAGTCTGTCTGTCCTCCGTCCGTCGGGGGTGAGTGTGCTCTTGGCACGGACGTCCTTGAGGACAGACAGGAGGAGTTTGAGTGCTTTGCCGTTGTTTTACCTCATCTCGTGTCCATGCTGATTGCCCCTGAGGGAGACCCGGATGCACCAGACATCCCGACCCCGCGCTCTTACGCAGAGGCTATAGAGGGTCCCTACTCCTCTCAGTGGCAGTCAGCCATGGACGCAGAGATGGCTTCCTGGAAGTCCACAGGCACCTACGTCGACGAGGTTCCCCCGCCTGGGGCGAACATCGTCAGTGGCATGTGGATTTTCAGGGTGAAGCGGCCGCCGGGTTCTCCGTCTGTCTTCAAGGCGCGTTACGTTGCACGAGGCTTCAGTCAGCGTGAGGGAGTTGACTTCTTCCAGACCTTCTCCCCTACCCCGAAGATGACCACTCTTCGGGTTCTGCTGCACGTTGCTGCTCAGCGTGACTACGGGCTCCACTCTCTTGACTTCAGCACTGCTTTCCTACAGGGCAGCCTGCACGAGGAGATCTGGCTGCGCCGCCCACCTGGCTTCACTGGGTCGTTTCCTCCTGGTACCCAGTGGAGCCTCCGGCGGCCAGTCTACGGTCTCCGCCAGGCACCCCGTGAGTGGCACGACACACTGAGGACGACTCTTGCTGCTCTTGGGTTTGCTCCTTCTACTGCTGACCCGTCGCTGTTTCTACGCACCGACATCACTCTGCCGCCGTTCTACGTTCTAGTGTACGTAGACGACTTGGTCTTTGCTACTGCTGACACTGAGGCACTCGCCCACGGGAAGTCGGAACTGCAGAAGAGACACACGTGCACAGACCTGGGTGAGCTGACAAGCTATCTTGGCTTGCGGATCACCCGGGACAGAGCACAGCGCACCATCACCTTGACTCAGTCACACATGGTGCAGCAGGTCCTTCAGCGGTTCCGCTTCACGTACTCCTCGCCACAGTCCACTCCTCTGCCTACCGGTCATTCGCTCTCAGCTCCACCTTCGGACGAGTCCGTAGAGCCGAGTGGCCCATATCCAGAGCTTGTGGGCTGCCTCATGTACCTGATGACCTGCACTCGACCTGACCTAGCATACCATCTTAGCATTCTAGCACGCTATGTCGCTCCTGGCCGACACAGGAAGGAGCACATGGATGCTGCTAAGAGGGTGTTGCGCTACTTGTGCAGTACGTCGGGCATGGGGCTTGTGCTTGGAGGGCGAGGCGACGTTGTCCTCACTGGTCACGCAGACGCTTCTTGGGCTGACGACTTGACTACGCAGCGGTCGTCACAGGGTTACACCTTCAGCCTTGGCTCCGGCTCTGTTTCTTGGCGGTCTACCCGCTCGTCTTCTACCAGCTCCAGTTGTGAGGCTGAGATCTACGCAGGGGCCATGGCTGCACAGGAGTTACGCTGGCTCACCTATCTGCTGACCGACCTGGGAGAGCCGCCTCGTTCTCCTCCAGTGCTGTACGTCGACAACAAGGCAGCCATTTCCTTGTGTCAGGAGCACAGACTAGAGCACAGAACGAAGCACATCGCTCTGCGCTACTTCCTTGCTCGAGAGTTGCAGCAGCGTGGTCAGCTTCGTCTTGCTTACGTGGCCACTCGGGCCAACACTGCTGATGTGTTCACCAAGGCGCTTCAGCCTTGTGATCATCAGCGTTTCTGTACTGTTCTAGGCCTTGTGCCTACTGTGCCTCACTTGCTTACTTCTTGACTCTGCTTGTACTGTGATCCTTATATATGTCTACCTGCATGTTTACACTTGCTAGGTTGTGATAACTGTATTTCTTGTTGTATTATCAAACTGCATTTGAACTGGTCTTGTGACTGTTGCTTGTGCTCGGAATTTGTGTGGTATCCTTGAGATCCACCCTGAGCTGTGCTTTGCTTTGCTGTGAACTGGACTTGTGACCATCTGGTTGTCTCCCACTTAGCCTATGGGGGTGTGTCAAACATTATGTATGTTTCTATTCTGTAGGCTATAGTGGGTTTAGCCTTAGGGGGTACAACATTCTAGGTTTTCCTACTTGTACTCCCAATGCTGTTAGTTCAATCATTCCTCACTCATTCTGACACACAATCACTCGGTGAGGGTCGGTTGGGTCGGGCGAGCGGCGTGACCTGTCAGTAGAGGGCCCGTCTGCTACTAACTCCCAGCGTTTCCCTGCTGCTTGGTCTGTTTCTGCTGCTCAGCTTCCCCCTTTCCCTTAGCGTTTTCTGGGCATTCGCTCTTGCGGTGTCCCGGCCGATTGCACGCGAAGCAGCGCCCTTTAAACGGTGCGGCAGCGGCATTCGCGGCGACGGCACGTATCGTGGCGCCCTCGTTCGTCCCACGAGATCGATGTCCCCAGTTGCTGCTGCTTCCGTAGGATCCCGGTCTCGGTCGGCGAAAGAAGTCGAGCTTCTCCGCCATGGCGAGAATTTCCTGGAAGTCGGTGACGCCGCGGAGCTGAATTTCTTGGGCAATGTCATGCTTCAGGCCGCCGATGTAGCGGTCGATGCGCTCGCTTTCGTGCATGTAGCCCACTTGCTCACACAGCGCCAGGAACCCGCTAGTGTAGTCTTGGACGGAACCGAGTTGGCGCCAAGTGCGGAGCTTCTGACGCGCCGCGACCGAAGCCGCAATTGGCTCAAACCGAGCGCGCAGACCTGCGCACCACGCGTCCCACGTGCGATATTGGGGCACCTCCACGAAATACGACGGCGCCCAGGGTCCGGTTTGTCCTTCCCGTGTCAATAGAGTCGCGTAGTCCATCAGCTTCGTGACGATGACGCGCCACCAGTCCATGGCGGGTCCTCGCAGCAGCGACACGGCGTAGCGAATCTTCGCCGTATCCTCCGAGACGTAGTTGGCGTCGAAGAAAACGTTCAACGTGAACAACCACGCCTGAACGGTAGGACCACCCCGTTGACTCGGGTCAAAGCATGGCGGACGCTGCGGCTTCAGTGGCATCGGCGACGGCAGTGTTGATTCGCCGGCCGGCACAGAAATCGTGACGCGGGGTTGACTCCTGGCTGCATTCGTCGCTTCGGGGTGTGTCGTGCCGTGTTCGTCGTCTCCGTCATTGCGGACGACGCCATCACTCGCCGCGCTCGCGGGTTGCCCCACAGTTCCGTGCTGCGATGCTTGTAGGGCAGGTTGTCCCGGAGTGCCAAGTGCTTGTGATTGTGCTTGCTGTGCTCGCGCGACGTCATTCTGCAGGGATGTGCGTTCCGCCGTCAGCGCCGCGATTTCTTCAGAGCTTTCGCGGAGTTGCTGCAGCAGTTCGTTCAAACGCTCCTGCGTGAGACTCGTGACGTCAATGTGTTCGGCCATGTCGAAGGGCGTCGGCTCAGCTTAGTCTAGGCGCAGTCGTGGCTGCACGCGTTTACGAGAGAACGCGAGGACAGCTGCTCCTAGGTGCTAAGGGGCGTGAGTCCCTTCGAGTGAAAAATAAAAAGTTGATTTTATGGGGTGCGGAGATGCGCGGTCCGAAAAGGAAAGTGGCTTTGAATACCAAGTGTTACGGGTGCAAAGAATCGAGGTAGCGAGGATTGCACTAGAATGTTCAACGAGTACAAGGTATGAGCGAAGGCATGAGCGAATACTTATACGCGAGATGTGCAAACGGTAACGCGGTGCGTGCGAGCTAGCTAGTGCTACGCTGGCGCGAGGTTCGGGCTAGTCCCGAAGCGTAGGCCGACTCGGCTGCTCCAGCAGTGCGAGGTTTGGTGAAACAGTGCGCGCAAAGTTGGCGAAGCCCCGTTAGCAGTAACGGGCGAACAACGGCTGCTGCTGTACACGATGTTGACGGTCGCAGTAAGGAATAGCGAGAAAATTCCTTACACAGGTGTGCTTGAAGAGATAGGCGAAAATGGATGGAGGTGGAAACAAGATTCGACGTTTACGTCGGAAGGGTTGCGTATTCCGTGTGTTGGGAAACATTATGATAATTATTTTTGCGTATATAAGCAATTCATTCAGTTCTTTATTTTTCCTTAAAACATGACAGGCTCGATTCTTAGATGTTTCTTTCCTCAAAATTGTTTTGAGTGTAAAATTCTATGGAGCAATTTGGACATTGATGTTCCTTTTTAGATTGTAATAAACATTAATTGTTTTCACCAACAACTTTCTCTATTGTTCAATCTGTTACTATAGGGGGTTTGGCTCTTGCAACTAGTGTATCTGATGTGTCAGCTAGTTGGATGGCGTTGGGTGGCATGGGATTGCCGAATGCCCTTGTTCTGCACTGGATGATATATTGCACTGCCTGCGTCGTCTAGCGAGTCGGTAGCGCTACCGAGCGCTACCGACGCTACCGAGTGAAATATATTGACAGAAATTTTCTCGTTCTGCGCTGGCAGAAACTTTCTCGTTCTGCGCTGGCAGAAAATTTCTCGTTCAGCGCTGGAAGGAAATTTCTCATTCTGCGCTGGAAGGAAATTTCTCGTTCTGCGCTGGCGTTGTCAAGTCGACATCGGCGCTCTTTTCTTCGTTCCTCTCGACAAGCACCTGCTCTGCTCTTGGTCCCACCCAGGGATGTCGTTTGGTTTTGAGGTACCCGGACAAATCAGGGGGCCCGTCATGTACGACCCTGAATCTCGCAGGTCCAGGGCCAATTTCAGCCCTTTAGGCTTCAGGGTTAGGGTACAAATAACCGTAGCCTCGTTTCCACTACACAGATGACAACTACACCTACAAACACAACACTACATTTAAACTTTGTTTAGGATTACTATACACGCTTAGCGGGCTTTCTAACCCTGGCAACATAAAAGACCTTGTGCACATCTACCCATTCTACAAGATGCACTAGCATTTTCACAGTCATAGGCTGATCGAGCTTAACATCACTAGGAGCAGTCCTGAGTTTCGGGTTCTATTATGTACTGCCTAGTGAATTGCCTGAAGATTTTAACACCATTCATATGCCGTGGTAAGGGACACAAGCACTGATTGGCACAAGCAGAACATATGAGTTGAGTTGAGTTGAGTTGGAGTTTTGGCCCAGCCGCGAACTCCAAATTTGTCTGGTTGGATGCAACCAGAATAGGAAATAGCGGGTGATAGGCCGGGTGGTTAGGGAACAACGGGGGAACGGGGGAGAGGTGAGGTTAGGTGGGATGGGAGTGAGGGGGGAGGGGGTTCGATAGTTTCTGTTCCAGGGCTAGCCAAAATTCTACCCTTTAAACACCAGGAACGATCCCAAAATCAGCCCTGTAATGAATCAGGGCCAGACATTTTGCAACCCATCAATTTCAGATTTCAAGGAAAACTTAGCCCTGGAATTCAAGGGCCAGCAGGGCAAGCGCCCTGCAAGCGACAGCCCTGGTCCCACCCCAATTTCCTCCCCACCCCAATTTCTCGCCAGTTCTTCTCCCACCCAGCCGTCGCTCTCTCTCCCATCCCGCCGTATCCTGTCCCCCACTACCTGCCGTCACATCTCCAACCCACCTCAATCACTCCGTCCCACCCCGCCCTCTCCTCTCCCTTACCTCCCCGCCGTCCCCTCCCTCCTCCCCTCCGTCGCCTCTCCCTCCTCCCCGCCGTCGCCTCTCCCTCCTCCCCGCCGTCGCCTCCCTCTCCTCCCCGCCGTCGCCACTCCTTCCTCCCCGCCGTCGCCGCTCCTTCCTCCCCGCCGTCGCCTCTCCCTCCTCCCCGTCGTCGCCTCTCCCTCCTCCCGGCCGTCGCCTCCCTCTCCTCCCCGCCGTCGCCGCTCCTTCCTCCCCGCCGTCGCGGCTCCTTCCTCGCCGCCGTCGCCTCTCCCTCCTCCCCGCCGTCGCCTCTCCCTCCTCCCCGCCGTCGCCTCCGGCGACAGGTGCACGAGCGCAAGCGCGAGTTGGTGCGCGAGAGCGGGTTGGTGCGCGAGCGCGGGTTGGTGCGCAAGCGTGGGTTGGTGCGCGAGCGCGGGTTGTTTATGAGTTACCGTGGTTATCAGGTGCGTTCCCGGTCCTTTCATCCTCCCTCCCCCCTCTGAATTTTTTTTTGAATTGTTTTTTGCTCTCTTCGTAATTTTTTTGTGTAGATTGGTCTCCTCTTGCGTAGCTCTCTTCGTGAAGAAAGGGAGAGACGCGGAGCGCGAGGGAGAGCGTGAGAGTGAGCGTGAGTGAGCGCGTGATAGCGTGTGAGAGCGCGTGAGGGAGCGCGTGAGATAGCGCGTGAGCTAGCGTGTGAAAGTGCGCTTTAGAGAGCGCATGAGAGTGCGCGTGAGAGAGCGCGTGAGAGTGCGCGTGAGAGTGCGCGTGAGATTGCGCGTGAGAGAGCGCACGAGAGAGCGCACGAGAGAGCGCGCCAGAGTGCGCGCGAGAGTGCGCGCGAGAGTGCGCGCAAGGGAGCGCGGGAGAGAGAGCGTGAGAGCGCGCGTGGGGGGGCACGTGAGAGCGCGTTTGAGAGCGCGCGAGAGTGCGCGCTAGAGTGCGCGCGAGAGTGTGCCAGAAAGAGCGCGCGAGGGAGCGCGTGAGTGAGAGTGTGCGTGAGAGTGCGCGTGGGAGAGCGCGTGAGAGTGCGCGTGAGAGTGCGCGTGAGAGTGCGAGTGAGAGGGTGCGCGAGAGAGCGCACGAGAGTGCGCGCGAGAGTGCGCGCTAGAGTGCGCGCAAGGGAGTGCGGGAGAGAGCGCGTGAGGGAGCGCGTGAGAGCGCATTGAGAGTGCACGCGAGAGTGTGCCAGAAAGAGCGCGCGGGGGAGCGCGTGAGTGAGAGTGCGCATGAGAGTGCGCGTGAGGGAGCGAGAGCGCGTGCGAGAGCGCGTGAAAGAGCGCGTGAGAGAGCGCGTGAGGGAGCGCGTGAGGGAGCGCGTGAGAGTGCGCGTGAGAGTGCGAAAGAGAAAGAGAGAGCGCGTGAGAGTGCGCTCGAGAGTGCGTGCGAGAGAGCGTGCGAGAGAGCGCGAGAGAGAGCGCGCAAGAGAGCGCGCGGGAGAGTGCGCGAGAGAAAGCGCGAGAGTACGCGAGAGAGTTCGCGCGAGGGAGCGCGCGAGCGAGCGCGTGAGGGAGCGCGTGAGTTTGCGAGTGAGGGAGCGCATGAGAGAGCGCGTGAGAGAGCGCGTGAGAGAGCGAGTGGGGGCGCGCGTGAGAGTGCGCGTGAGAGCGCGCGGGAGAGTGTACGCGAGAGAGCGCGCGAGAGTGCGCATGAGAGTGTGAGTGCGAGGGCGAATGCGAGCGTGAGTGCGGGTATGAGTGCGAGGGCGAATGTGAGGGTGAGTGCCTGTGAGTGCGAGGGCGAATGCGAGCGTGAGTGCGGGTGTGTGTGTTAGGCTGGGGGCGATGGTGCGGGTGCGATTGCAGTGCAGTGGTGAGTGCGAAGGCGAGGGTAAGTATGATTCCAAGCGTGAGTGCGTGCATGTGAGGATGAGGGTAAGGGTGAATGTGAAGGTGAATGCAAGGGTGGCTGCAGGGTATTGCATGCATTCTGGCGTGGTATGTGTGACGCGATAATGTTTACTATCAAGTCACCTTTGTAAGATGTCAAATTTGATTGTTGTCATCACTCATCTTTTGTTGTTTTTTGCAATCTTCAGCGCCAATTTCTGCTCCACTTACTCTGTTTTTTAGTGCATCGAAAATTTGTTTCTTGTGCGTCAAGGAAGCTGCATTCTCTGATTTTATTTTCTTGTGCAACTCATGCAAGTTGTATTCTCTGATTTTGTTTTTGTGTGTGCAGGGAGTGAGTTGCATTCGCTATTTCTTCTTTCCTGTGCAGGGAGTTCAAGCTGCAGGCTTTGTTTTTTGGAGAGAAAAGGGATGGGGGGAAGGGAGATGAGGGAGGTGAGGGAGGGAGGGAGGGAGGGGAATGGGGGACAGGCTAGTGATGATATATACAATACTGAACTTCATTCATTATGATTGCATGCTAATCACCATAGCTGTATGTTTTTGTGCTGTGTGTGTCTGTGTATGTGTGAGGAGCATGTATGTGTGTGAGTCCGTACATGTGCGTACGTGTGTTGTGTGTGTTTCAGGGTGTGGTGCTAAGTGCCTCGTGAATGCAACTGGGATTGTGATCGTCGGTGGGGCAGTTTTGCTAGCCTCTTCCGTACCATATCAATCTCAGGTGCAGCATTGATGCATGTAGTATTCGCCTTGAAACATTCTCAACCGTTGTCCTCTGTTTTTGTACCAGTTTGTGTGATATCGTCTGTGCTTGTTTCGGGGTGTGGTGGAAAGTGCCTCGTGTATCCAACTGGGGTTGTGATCGTCGGTGGGGCAGCTTTGCTCGCCTCTTCCGTACCATATCAATTTCAGTTGCTGCATGATGCATTTTGTATTCCCCTCAAAACATGTACGGTACGACGGATTCTGTACACGTTTGTTTTTGTGGTAATTTGTGTGTGTGTCGTTACCAGGTGGTATCGTTGTATTTTCAGTGTTCGTGTGTCATTTGGTATCGTCATTAGGTAGATCGATTGTCCAATTGTTCCATTCGCCGTACTTATCGACGATTATGGAATGATTGGAAACATTTGTTTTCATTTCATTTTTTCAGGGGAACTTACGTGAACAGTGATTTCTTTCAAAAATGATGGGAGAAATTCACTGTTCACGTCAGCCAACCTAAAAGTGAAAACGAATGTATAAGGTTGCTACGCAACCCAAAAAACATTTAAGTCAACCAAATAGTTATTTCAAATGCTTGAGAAAAAAAAGTTCTTTTGTCAACCGACTCTTCTGTATCACACAGAAACGATCCATACCACACAAAAACAGATCACACCACGCAGAACCGCAGATACCTTTAGCGTCACCTGCACGCTTCGCCCCACGGCATCTGCTGCGTTGCGCTTCACCCTGCCACACATTTCGCACGCAGCCTGGCGTGTGCTTCACAGATTCGGCTGTTTCTAGGGGTGGTAACGCGACGAGATCGAGGAGTGAATCTGACTCTAGTTTGCTCCACTCACGGCTGGCGGGAAAATGCAGCGGCTTTGTGAGTATCACGAGTGACTACTCCTTATCATGACACGTGTCTGCGAGCGACTGGTCGCGTCTCTTACGCATCGCCTTGCTCGTCGCGCGCCTAACCAAGGCTGCTGCCGTAACTTTACTTCGGCGACTGTAGCGGCGACTTCCTGTCATCCTGCCACGTGGCAGCAGCATCAGATCTGTCAACCGCGCCAAATTCTCACGCCGGATTCCTATTGGACGGTACACGCTTCAGATATCGCCTTACTTGGCGAAACCACTGGTAGAAGTAGCAGCATAAGTGGCAATAGTAGTACTACTAGTGGCTTCTATGCGTATGACTATCACCAGTTACGTGCTGCCACCTGGTGCTCACAAGACGTAGCATTACCTGTTGCCACGTGGCGTGGTGGTGGCTCCCACCCAGCGAAGTTTCCGCACACCTTCCTTCCGCCGCCGCCGGCTCCCCCATCAGCGGGGCTCGCGTTCGTTCCGCGCTTCACTGCTCTCCGCGGAGAATGGCCCTCTCCCTCCCCGCTGCCCGCCACTCCCCCTTCCGCGCATGCAGCTGGGCGGAAGGGGAAGGAGGGCGGGGGAAGCAAAAGGCAGAGCAGGGGGAAGGGGGGGTCTGTAGGGGGGGGGAGCGCAGCAGCAGGGGCAGAAAGAGAGGAGGGTGAGGAGGCATGGGCTGCAGGTGAAGAGGATTATATGGAGGATGGAGCGTGGGACGAAGGCAGGAGAGAGGATGATGCAGATGCGGGTGTTCACGCGGATTCAGGCCGTCATGGAACTCGGTAAGGCATGGTGGGACTCGGTAAGGCATGGTGGGACTCGGTAAGGCATGGTGGGACTCGGTAAGGCATGAGAGACTGTTGAGGCCCCTCAAAAGCCATCAAGGGACATGGTAGGGTGTGGTGGAACACGGTGGGGAATGGTGGGACACGGTAGGGTATGGGGTAAGAACTCTTCTGGCATAGCATCCAGGTGGTACAGCCATGTGTATTTTGAGGCGCCTCAAAATACATAGCATCCACGTGGTGCATGCAGCCATGCTCCATCCGTGCTGCCTGCTGCGCGCCAAGCTGCATGCACACATGCTCCCCCCTCCTACGTTCTCCACTCCCACACCTCTGCTCCCTGCCTCCCTGCCTGCCTCACTGCCTGCCTCCCTGCCTGCCTCCCTGCCTCCCCCACCCCCCTCCCCCCTTCCTCTCCCCGCACAGAATGCTAGTGGTGCAGCCGCGCCCCCATCCGCGCTGGCTGCTGCGCGCCAAGCTGGGGGAGGCGCTGCGATTGGTGGATTCACTGACAGGCACGGACAGCCAATGGGAGATGGAGCAGCGCTCGTGGGGGGGCGCAGGGAGAGGGGAGGAATCACAGCAGGGTGGAGCAGCGAGAGAGTGGCAGGGGGAAGGAGAGCAGTGGCGGCAAGGGGAAGAGGCTGAGGCTGAGTGGAGAAGGCGGAGTGAGGGGTGGGAGCGGAGTGCAGGGAGGAGTGTGCGGAGTGGGGATGGGGTGGAGGGGTTTGGGTTTCCGCCACCGGGAGGGGGTCACCCGTGGGTGGTGGTGCACAGCAGAGGGCGGGGAATACGCGCAGGTATGGGAGATTCGTCTGACTTGAAATCATGCGATTCTGCTGCGATACACAACAGATTGAATCGTCTTCTGAGGTGCTTTAAAGTGAATCACGCCCCCCCCCCCCCCCCCAAAAAAAAAAAAAAAAAACCCACCCCGGTTTCAAGGCTGGTCCGTGCTTGCATTGCATGGTTCCCCTTTTGCATTCCATTTGGTATGCTGTGAGCCTGGTTTGTTTGAGCCACTTTTAAAGTTTTTTTTTCCAAAATATGGTAGTGCTGCTAATATGTTTTTACCATCTATCGGTGGCTTGTTGCAACCCCGTTTCCTTCCCCCCCGTTGCCGTTGCTGTCCTTCAGGGTCATTCTTTGGGAGTGGCACCATCGAGAGCATTGCTGCTCATGTGCACGCTTCACACACCATGGTATGCTATGATGTGCACTTCACATAAGCTGAAATGCAGTGAATGTGAACAGACACAACTACTTGCACGTGTGTGTATGGACAGTCACACCCTCACATCCATCCACACTTGCACTTGTTGAGAGAGAGTGTGTGTAAATCGGGTGTGTGGGACGTTATGGGGGAGGGAGTACCTACCTGCTGAACTCTGTACTTCCTTTCAGCGTCCGCTGTTTTGGGCATGGATGTATCTTTATTTGAAGCGCCATGAATGCGTATGTGAGCATGAATGTTATTATCTATACGGATGTATCTTCTCACGCTCCACCGTACCAACCAGGGTGTACCAGTGGAGGCAGTATTCGTGAATGCTACTCTCTCAGGCGTGCAACAACGCAACCTGGAGGTGAGCGAGAGGGAAGGGGGGGGGGGAGGTTGTGTGTGGTGGTGTGGGGTTGGGAGAGGTTGGGCGTGGAGTGGCGGGCAGAGGGTGCAGTGGGAGAGGCCGTGTTTGTGAATGCTGCTCTGCTCTCAGGCGGGCAGAAGCGCAACCTGGAGGTGAGAGTGGGGACGGGGATGTGTGTGGTGGTGTGGAGGGGAGCGGGGGATTGGGTGGTTGTGGAAGAGGGCAGCCAGGCAGAGGGTGCAGTGGGTGGGGTAAAGGCAGAGGGGTGGGAATGGGAGGGAAAGGTTGCTTGTGTATGGATGTACTCTCTCACGCGTATGCTCGCCCGCTCGCCCTGCCTTACTGGAATTCCTAATGGATGAACTCCTTTTGAGATTCATAGAAGAAGCAAGGCCTGTCTGTCTGCCCTACGTTCTCTGCTTCCGTTGATCCTTGCCCTCCTCCTCCACCCCCTGCCTGCCCACCCCCAAGGCGGCGTGGCGTGGCGTCCGCCGGAGGTGGAAAGAGTGGGGCTGATCATTGAGATTTTTGGTGCTCGGGCCAACACCTGATCCTCCTGCTCGTACTTCCCTTTTCTTCCATCTTCATATCCCTCCTTTTGCCCCTTCTCCTTTCCTACCTGTTCGTACCCAAGGTGGCATGGGGTCTGCCAGTGGTGGACCGAGTGGGTCTGATTATCGAGATCTTTGGTGCGCGTGCCAACACACGAGAGGCCAAGCTGCAGGTGGGTTGGGTTGAGTTTGGCTGGGTTGGGTTGGGTTGGGTTGGGTTGGGTTGGGTTGGGCTGGGTTGGGTTGGGTTGGGTTGGGTTGGGCTGGGTTGCTGACTCGGCGGTCAAAGGGCTGGTTGATGCAAAACACAAATAAATCTACCTTCCTGTTCCGCTGCCATTCTAACAAACAAAGAAACTGAAGGAGCACTTCCTGCCAACCCATTCCCCCATTCTATTCCTCCCACCTACTCCGCCACTTGTTTTCCATTTCCCTCCTCCCTTTCCGAACCTCAGGTGGAGATGGCAGGTTTGGAATACCAGCGCAGCCGGTTGGTTCGGCAGCGAGGCTCGGGGGGGCGCAGGCTGGGGTTTGGTTTGAGGGGTGAGCAGCAGGTGGTGAGTGCGCGAGGGAGGGCGGCAGGCGGGCGGGGCTTTTTGGCCGGAGCAGGGGAGAGCGAGCTACAGCTGCAGAGACGACGGTAAGAGGGAGAGAAAGCAGAGTGGGAAGGGAATGGGGTAGGGGTGTTTGAGGGGAGGTGAATGGCTCACGCGTGATCATCACTCCTTGATCCTCTTTGAGGGGAGGTGAATGGCTCACGCGTGATCATCACTCCTTGATCCTCTTTGAGGGGAGGTGAATGGCTCACGCGTGATCATCACTCCTTGATCCTCTTTGAGGGGAGGTGAATGGCTCACGCGTGATCATCACTCCTTTTGAGTCGACTCAAAGGTGAATGGCTCACGCGTGATCATCACTCCTTTTGAGTCGACTCAAAGGTGAATGGCTCACGCGTGATCATCACTCCTTGATCCTCTATCCCTCCATCCCTTTTCGCTCCAACCCTTTTCCCTCCCTCCTTCCCTCCCTCCCTCCCCCCCTCCCCCCCCCCCCATGCCAGCATATCAGAAAAGCAGCACAAGGTGAGGCGCAAGTGCCTTGTGTGTTGACTCAAAAGTCAATTCCGTTCTCCCCTCCATCACAGCATATAATAAAAACCCTGGAGACGTCTCAAAACTCCCTCCCTCCCTCCCTCCCCGTCTCTCCCCCGCCCACACCTCCCGTCACAGAATCTCGGAGAAGCAGCACAAGCTGAGGCAGCAGATAGAGCAAGTGAGGAGGACACGTGGCCACAGATAGCAGATGACAGACCGCTGCAGCTGCAGAGACATCTCGCATCCCACATCCCCCCCTCCCTTCGGCCTCCCATGCCAGAATATCGGAGAAGCAGCACAAGCTGAGGCAGCAGATAGAGCAAGTGAGGAGGACACGTGGCCACAGATAGCAGATGACAGACCGCTGCAGCTGCAGAGACATCTCGCATCCCACATCCCCCCCTCCCTTCGGCCTCCCATGCCAGAATCTCGGAGAAGCAGCACAAGCTGAGGCAGCAGATAGAGCAAGTGAGGAGGACACGTGGCCACAGATAGCAGATGACAGACCGCTGCAGCTGCAGAGACATCTCGCATCCCACATCCCCCCCTCCCTTCGGCCTCCCATGCCAGAATATCGGAGAAGCAGCACAAGCTGAGGCAGCCGATAGAGCAAGTGAGGAGGACACGTGGCCACAGATAGCAGATGACAGACCGCTGCACCTGCAGAGACATCTCGCATCCCACATCCCCCCCTCCCTTCGGCCTCCCATGCCAGAATATCGGAGAAGCAGCACAAGCTGAGGCAGCAGATAGCACAAGTGAGGAGGACACGTGGCCTGCACCGATTGGCCCGCAGACGCGCCTCCTGGGAGGGCGGGGGGAAGGGTAGAGGGCTGCCTGTGGTGGCCGTAGTGGGGTATACCAATGCGGTGAGTGTTAATTGTGGTTTTTTTTATGCGGCGCTGGGGTGTCTCTTTTTGTAACGGGAAGGGGAGATTGCTGCCTGTGGTGGCCATGGTGGGGTATAGGAACACACGCAGTGAGTGTCTGTGATGTGCTGCTTGCAAGTGCCTGAGAATTGGAAGGGGGAGATGGCTGCTGGTGGTGGTCTTGGTGGGGTGCACCAACGCAGCGAGTGCATCTCATCTCCTTGTAGGGTATGTCAGTGTGCAGTGGCTTGTGCTGACATATGTCGTGTTGACTTTTGAGTCAACTCAAAAGTCAACTTGTAGGGTATGTCAGTGTGCAGTGGCTTGTGCTGACATATGTCGTGTTGACTTTTGAGTCAACTCAAAAGTCAACTTGTAGGGTATGTCAGTGTGCAGTGGCTTGTGCTGACATATGTCGTGTTGACTTTTGAGTCAACTTAAAAGTCAACTTGTAGGGTATGTCAGTGTGCAGTGGCTTGTGCTGACATATGTCGTGTTGACTTTTAAGTCGACTCAAAAGTCAACTTGTAGGGTATGTCAGTGTGCAGTGGCTTGTGCTGACATATGTCGTGTTGACTTTTGAGTCAACTCAAAAGTCAACTTGTAGGGTATGTCAGTGTGCAGTGGCTTGTGCTGACATATGTCGTGTTGACTTTTAAGTCGACTCAAAAGTCAACTTGTAGGGTATGTCAGTGTGCAGTGGCTTGTGCTGACATATGTCGTGTTGACTTTTGAGTCAACTCAAAAGTCAACTTGTAGGGTATGTCAGTGTGCAGTGGCTTGTGCTGACATATGTTGTTGAAGGTTGTGTGTAAATGGCATTGTGGGTGGGGGGATGAGGGGAAAAGGGTTGCCGGTGGTGGGGTATACCAACGATTCACATGGATTGATGCCCGATATACATCCATGTCTCATACACGTGAAATGAGCGAGTTTTTTAGACGTCTCAAAAACCATTTGCAGGGCAAATGTTTGAGGCGCCTCAAAAGTTGACTGATATGCACTGCACCCATGTCTCTTACACATTCACACCATGTGCAGGGCAAATCTACGCTGGTGACAGCACTTTCACAGTCGCCCCAATACATTGATGACCGGTGAGTGAGTGGTGAGGTTGGCGAGATATTTGATTTGCGCTGCTGGAGTGAGTGTAGCAATTGCATCAAGCTCCCCTCCCAGAAAGCGAGCACGAGCTTCATGGTAAACGAGTTGTTTCACACCCCCGCACTGGTGCAGCCCTGCTTTCATCCACTCACTCATTCATTATTTTTTTTCATTTAATTCATTCATTGATCAATCAAGTTAGCTAATCAATCATTGCTCCCCCACTGCCCGTCGTTGGCACTTTCCGGTATTCTGCCGTCCGTCCAGGTTATTTGCAACCCTGGATCCTCGTGTGAGAGCAGTCAAGCTGCAATCGGGTCTTGAGGGGCTTCAAAAATCCTGCTCCGTCCCCTGCGCCTTTCTTTTCACCGTGTGGTCTTCTGCCATCCTTGCAGGTTATTTGCAACCCTGGATCCTCGTGTGAGAGCAGTCAAGCTGCCGTCAGGGTAAGTTGCTGTGAGAGTGAGCTGACATGAGAGTGAGGTGCTATGAGGGTTGAATTGGATTTTCATCCAATATAACACCCTCAGTGTCCTTGTGCGACTATCTGTTGCATCTCCAGCAGTATCCGTGTGTCATTTCCTGCATAATAAATGAATTATGTTCGGATAATGTTTCCGTGTTTTTTTTTTTTTTTTTTTTTTTTTTTGCATGGTTGTTTTCCAGGCGCAGGGTGCTTCTGAGTGACACGGTGGGGTTCATATCCGACCTGCCCCATCAGCTGGTGGAGGCGTTTCACGCCACACTGGAGGAGGTGGTTGAAGCCGACCTGCTGCTGGTAGGGCCTGCTTGAAGCACATACATACAGTTGCTGCTGGTACAGGTGCGTGCAGCATATGGCATGATGGCCGCATGGTGACACGGTGGGGTTCATATCGGACCTGCCCCATTACCTGGTGGAGGCGTTTCACGCCACACTAGAGGAGGTGGTTGAAGCCGACCTGCTGCTGGTAGGGTCTTCCACTGATGGACCATGCTGCAGGTGTGGCTTTCTAATAAAATTCATTATTACTGTTAGTTTTATATCTCTATTTGTCGTTACTGCTATTTGTATTAGTATCATTGTTTTTCTTATTGTTTATTTGATGCTGTTAGTCTGTTCCCTTGAGCTCTTCCAATACAGTAGTCCAACTTCGCCCCTAAACCCCTCCCTCCTCTCTATCCCCGCACCACTACCCCACCACCACCCCGCTCCCCTCTTGGCTGCCTGTCCACGTCAGCATGTGGTGGACGCGTCAGCACCAGACATGCATCAGCAGCGACAGGCGGTGTTGCACGTGCTGACGCAGATGGGGGTGCCTGTGGATCCAGGCATGGCCGCTGACGTCAGCATGGCTGCTAGGGGAAGCAGCATGGGTGTGGGTGATGGTGGTTATGGTGTGGATGGTTCAAGCATGGAGAGCTATGGCAGCATCAGGATGGAGGGGAGGTTCTTCACTCATCCATACATCATTGAAGCTTGGAACAAGGCAAGTTCGTATGTTTTTGTTTTTTTTGTTTTTTTGCTTGTTTGCTCGTTCTTCCCTATTTTCAGGATGTTCTTGTGTCAGTGCAGTGCATGAATGTGCATGTTTGTGTTCCTTTCCCCACAGGTGGACCTCCTTCCTCCCTCGCACCCCCTGCTCTCGGGCTCGTCCATTCTAGAGTCACACCTTCATAAGAGCACACTTGACCCGGCTGTAGCGCCGCCCAACTTCCAGGATTCCTTACAAGCGCAAGATGCTCCGTTCATGATCAATCCTGTGCTGCAACGTGAATCCGAGGAGGATAGGGGTGGAGTGCAGATAAAAGAGGGGAACGAGCGATTGCGCGTTCTTGAGACAGCCGGGGTTGTTGGTGGGAGCACAAGGGAGTGGGAAGCTGGTTCTGGCAATGTACGGAGTGAAGCTTGGGGTATGCCTGGTTCCCAGCCTGAGGAGCAGGGTGAGGAAGATGAGGGAGAAAAGGGTGATGAGGATAAGGAAGAGGAAGAGGGAAGTGATCAGGAAAAGAAGGGTGGTGAGGAAAAGGGGGAGGGGTGTGTTGAGAGCAAGCGTGCCGAGGAAGAGGAATATAGGTTGGGTCAGGTGGGAATGCATGGGCAACGAGATGCTGTTACATGGATTGGGAGATGTAAAAGTTTGGGAGTGTATAGTGGTAGGGAAAATGGAGGTTCTACGGTAAAAGGGGCTTCTGCCCGAGTCGAAGCTTCGAGGCCAATTTTTATCTCGGCTGTTCGTGGCACTGGGTTTGAGAAGCTTTTGAGTGATATTGATGAAGCGCTGATTGAAAGAGGCTTATAATCGGTGGAGGGTTCTGCTTAGATTCTGCATAAATTACTCTGTTAAATCATGTACTGACATCAATGTAGTGTTCTGAATGAGAAATATATATCAAAATTCTCCGTTTGGCGTTTTCCTTCATTCGTTACCAGCTGGCAATTGTCAGTTTCTGACATAACACACACTTATGGCTGCCGCGTTTGTTGTCCTGCCCTACCATCTGTTTCTGTTTGCTAAACAGCTGTACAGTAAAAGTCGCGTAAACATTGTCCTTGTGCACAGTAGGACGTGACTCCAGCACAGCCCCGCAATCTTCACCCAGTTTGAAAAGCACCGATTGCAGTTGATAAACAACGAAGAGGTACAGTAAACAGATTGCCCAGCGAGCAGTTTTTGGGGTAAGACTAGACAATACACTTGAACCTCAATATTATGGCAACAACATACACGTACGAATTTCTGTGAGCGTGTTAAACTACTCTGTACAGTCTAACATAGCTCATTTCTCCACTGTCAGTTAGAGTGTAACCTAATCCGTTATGTATACGTAATGTTGCTATTGTCAAAAGATGACCAAAGCCAATCTAATACGAAAACTGGATACCGTGGATATAGGAAAAATATTCGATAAGTTACATGGACCCATAATCACTTGGCTGTGTGGGCTACTGTTCGTTTAATAAGCCAAGACTGTGCTATGAGCCGCACTAATTATAGGGGACGTCCAAGTTTTTTTAGTTTTCCAGAAGTATCAGTACCCCTCTATACTACTACATTGACCGCTTTAGAACGTGAAACATATAATTGAGCCGCATTTTAACGAACTGTGACCATGCATGGCGTAATAGAGTGCTCTTTGGTGTGGTTAATAACTTGAAGCCACAGTACAGAGCTGTACCTCTATAACAAAACCAGTGTCTCCATAATGAGAAAACAGGTGTATAGACGCAATCATTGGAACTCCAGGCAGACAACGATCTTCTGCCCACTGGCGTGTCTCGCACGGGATTCACATTGCCCGAAAATGGTGATGATCGCCATCTTGAAAACACAGCTTATGCTTGTGACAGGCAGCCCCTGAAAATACCACTCTCACACCATCGTTCTCTTGCTCTCTCCCATCTCAGTGTAGTGTACCCCCTTCTTCCCCTCGGAGTACACGTAGAAAACCGGTTTCAGGAAACCAACTTCCATATTACAGTACAGCACAGTTGCCATCCACTTCCACTCTGCCTCCAGCTCACCCTCACCATCCTCCATGACTTGTTCCACCCTCCTCGTCCCCCCTTCACGAGACAGCACCTGTTGCCGAAACAGAGTACTGTAAATTCAAAAATCGGATCCACTCTTGTCTCCTTATGCTGAACCTTCTTTTCCATCCCTTCCCACTCTCATTTCACAGCTCGAATTTTACAGCTCCAAATTTATTGCTCTGCCAATATCCTCTCGTTCACAGCCATGCCCAAGTTTCGAAGTTTCGCCGCACTTACAGCTGGGCTGGGCAGCGGCCAGCCCAGTCAGCCACCTGTCCACCAACCAATCCTTGCCGACGGAGCCCCTCAGGCAAACTCCAGATTCCAAATCGCGAAGCACCATACGTCCCCAGCCCAGAGGAGCAGCAGCTGAGCTGAGCTGTCCATCCTCGTCTTGATTCTTCTTGAACTGCTCGAATGTGAAGTGCAAATCCTTTCCCGCTAACCTAGCAGCAGAAGCACCCCAATGCGCGAAGCGCCATACGCCCAGAGGAGAATGACTCGTGATTGACAGTAGGGTTTCTTTCGACGCCTCTCTGTCTACATCCATCCGTTGCCTGTCTGCGAGGCTGTTTGTGGCGGTGCGGATGGCTATCTTGTCCTGTGGACTGTATTCGCCGAGAAGTGACACTCGCGTGTTCCCGGCTTTCAAGGTTTGAATCTTAGCAACGTTTTAGCGATCATCTGTGCTGAAAGCCTAGAAGGATTCCGTGACGGACGGAAAGATGCACAGACGTTGGGAGAGGAATAGTGCCATCACGTTTAGTAGTTTTTTTTCCACCATTGGATCGCTCGTACCTCGGACGATTACTGTAACGATACAATAGTACGGTGCCCGGTGTTCGATGCGACATTTGGATCTCAAGCTCCCAACTTGTCGTTAACTCGTTTTCGGTCAAGAATTAGCGGCGGCCATGTCTGGTAGCGGCGAGCATTGCCCCTACGCTTACATATCTTCAGTTTCGTAGTCACACGCGGTCATGGAAGCGACTTACGCAGCTCGACGTTTCGAGTCTGGGGGAGCCATGGCGGAGCGCCGCTTAGATCCGCGCCTTTTCGAACCGCACCCCTTCAACCCGCGCCTTTTCGATCCCATCATCACTCACGAGACGCGTCAAGCGCACCCATTAGAGCCCGTGACGTCTACTGGAGGCGAATCTGCAAGTTTCAAGTCGGGGGTAATGCGCGGTCGCGGAGATGGCGATTCGGTTAGACGTAACGGCAGTGCGGCGGGCGCATCGGCCGATAGATCTCCCGGATGTCCTGCTGCGACTCCGCGACGCAGCCCATCGCGGCAGTCGTTCGACAGTCGCAACCCGTCGCAGTTGCAGGACGGACGTCGCAACCCATCGCATTCGTTCGATTTCGATAACGACTGGTGTAGGAGCGCAGATGCTTTTGCCGACCCTCGCGAAACGCCCCGCGCCGGAGGAATGCGAGGGGAGGCAGTTGCGCGGGTCGACCCAGATTGCGCTTCCCCCCAACTCGGAAGGGGAAAGACGGCGGAGTCGCGTGGAACAAGCATGCGCACTTCGAGTCCGCTCAGCTGTCCCCAGCAGCGCCACGGAACGGTAACAGGAGGCTCGGGGACAGGCTTGAGGACAGGCTCGGGAACAGGCTCGTCACCGAACCATGAGTGGGAGAAGTCCGTCACGTCTCCAGCTTGTGGCGGCGGGATCTCCGCGGACGACGGCCTTTGGCGCCGCGCGGCGGAGGCCGGCGGGGCGACAGCATGGCGCGGGGACGGCGGCAGCGGCGGCGGCGGAGCAGCATGGCGGAAGCCCGGCGCGTTCCTCCCCCCCCGCCTGCTCCTCTGCACGGGGCCTCCCGCCGCCATCTCCCCGTGCTCGACGCTCGAGCGCCAGCTCAGCCCGTGCTGCTCTTCCGCTGCCACGTCAGCAGCGTCCAGCCCTTGCCCCGTGTCGAGTCCGCTATCGGCCGCGTTCAGCCCACTGTCCGCGCGCAGCGCCTCGCCGCTAGCCGACAAAAGCCCCTCCAACCCGCTACCCGGAAGAAGCGCTTCCCCCTTTGCGGGGAGAAGCCGCTCCCCCCTTTCGAGGGGAAGCTTTTCCCCCTTGTCGGGGGGAAGCGCTTCCCCCTTGTCGGGAGGAATCTCCTCTCCGGTTGCTGGCCGCGGTAACTCCTCGCCGCTATTCGGGAAAAGCGCATCCGCGCTTTCTGGCGGAACCACCTCTCCGTTTCTTCCGCGCAGCCCTATGCCTCTCCGCAGCCCGTTACCCGCGCTCGCGCCCTCCTCGCCCCTCCGCCCGCGCAGTCCTCTTTCCGTGCAGTCCCCCGTCTCCCCGCATGTCAGCCCCGCGCATACACGTTCCGGCTCCGCCAAGAGCCCCCTTGCGCGCCGACCGCTCGGCCGCTCCGCCAGCCCCCTGAATACCGTTGCGCCGCACCCACCCGCGCCGCTTTCACCTGCTCCACTCTCACCTGCGCCACTCTCACCTGCGCCACTCTCACCTGCGCCACTCTCACCTCCGCCGCTCTCACCTGTGCCTCTTTCCCCTGCGCCGCTTTCACCTGCGCCGCTTGGGTCGACTCTAAAGTCGCATCGGCGAGGAGACGCAAGCAGCGGCAGCGCAAGCAGCGGTGGCGCAAGCAGCAACATCTCCTTGTTTCGAAGCAATACCAGTTGCAGCGGTAGCAGCAGCAGCAGTAGCGCCTCCTTTTTTCGCAGCGCCAGCAGCAGCAGCTGCAGCAGCAGCACCAGCGGAAGCGGAAGCACCAGCGGTGCCAGCGGCAGCATCGGCGGCCACAGTTGCAACAGCAGTCCGGTACGCGGAGGGGCGCGCGCGGCGCAGGGGCCCGCGTTCGTTAGGCGACCCAGCCTGCTGTCGCGCGCTCAACCGCCCGCCTCCCCTCCGCCGTTCTCCGCTCCGCCTGCCTCCCCTCCGCCACTGTCCTCTCCGCCCGCCTCCCCGCCATCAACCGCAACACGCGCTCAGTTTCCGCCGTCCGCTCAACCCCCCGCCTTCCCATCGTTCTCTCCTCCGCCCGCCTCCCCTCCGCCATTCTCCCGCGGTCAGCTTCCGCTTTCCCCTTCCCCACAACTCCCCCTCTCCTCCGCTTCCCAAGGCCGCCCAGTCTCCCCCCTGCGCCCAGTCTCCCACCTGCGCCCAGTCTCACCCCAGATGCGCCCAGTCACCCCCCAAATGCGCCCGGTCTCCCCCCACCCGCGTCCAGTCTCCCCCTACCCGCGCCCAGTCTCCCCCCACCTGCGCTCAGTTTCTCCCCAGATGCGCCCAGTCTCCCCCTTAATGCGCCCAGTGTCCCCCATGATGTGCCCAGTCTCCCCCCAGATGCGCCCAGTCTCCCCCCAAATGCGCCCAGTGTCCCCCCACATGCGCCCTAGTGCTCCCCAGCGGTCCCCAGCTACTAATCCTGCGCCGTACGCAATGCGCCCTGTCTCGCCCGCGATGCGCCCTGCGTTGCCGCACCTTTCCCCCACCTCGTACGCGCCACACCCTCCCTCCCCCTCTCCGCTCCTCTCGCCTCCCCCGCTCCTCCGCGCCCCTCCCTTTCCCCTCCGCCCCCTCTCTCCCCTCCTCCGCCCGACTTCCCCCACCCTTCCCCCTGCCACGCCGTCGTTCCTCCGACCATCCGCGCAATTCCCCCCATCCGCGCAATTCCCCGCGTCTCCGCCTCTCCTAGACACCACTTGCAATCCCGTCAACGCCGCTCTTAACCCATTTAACCATCCCAACGCTCCACCCTCTCCCAACCCTTTCCCCTCTCCTCCCTCGCTCCGCCCTTCCTTCTCTCCTACCGCTCCCAACCCCTCCTTCTCTCCTAGACCATGCCTCGCCCCTCGCACACCCTCATGGAGCAGCGAGCTGGAAAGGCGAAGCGCAACGGTAGCAGCACCCGGCGCCGCCGCCGCTTCCGCAGCACCAGCAGCAGCAGAACCAGCAGCGGGAGGAGGAGGGGCAGGTGGCGCAGGAGGTGGGGGGGGAGGAGCAGAAGCAGGGGGGAAGGCGAGAAGCGGAGGGAGAGGCAGCAAGGCGGGAGGCGCGGAAACGCGTCGAGCCGTTGGGTTGTCCGAGCTGGCGAAGGGGAGGGGCGCAACTGGCACGAGGGGCGTGGGCGGCGGTGGCAGGACGGCGGCAGGGCAGCAGCGAGAGGGACATGCCAAGGCGGCACCTTACGAGCAGCAGAGATCGTGCCAAGAAAGCGTTGCTGCACCCGCACCTGCTGCACCTGCTGCACCTGCTGCTGCTGCTGCTGCTGCCGTGCCTGCTGCCACTCCTGCTGCGAGGGTGCTGTTCCAGCAGTCTGCTGTTGAGCCTGCTGCGCCCGTGCTCACTGCTTCTCCTGCCGTGGCTTCCCAGTCTCGAGGTGAAGCCTCCCCTCTCACGCGGAGAGAGCGCGACTCGCGGGGAGACCTAGACCTTTCCCCACAACTCACCCCTCGCTCGTCCCACCCGCCTTGCTCCCCCTACTCCCCCCGCTCTCCCCACACGCCTAACTCCCCCCACACCTCCCGCGCTTCCCCCACGCCCCGCTCCCCACTACGGTCCATTACCCGTGATCCACGCACCAACTCCCCCCTCTCCTCCCCACTCACTCCCCCCCATCCTCACTCGCTCTTCTCTCCCACCACCACCCCTCCTCGCCCTCCCCTCCCCTCCCCCCTCTCCTCCTCCTCCTGCTCCACCCTCCCTGCTCCCCTCTCCTCTCCCCTGGGATCTCCAGCACCGTCCCTCGCTCGCCGAGTCTCCACCTCAGCTTCGGCAGCAGGTTCGGCCCCAGCCTCTGGGAGGTCACCCACGCGGAGCTGGAAAGAACGGCCCGAACCGCCAGGTCCGGCACAAGGCCCGGGGTCAGGCCCGGCATTGAGTAGGCTGAGCAGCAGCAGTAAGGAAGGGTGTGATAACCGTAACGGTCACACCACCACAAGCATCAACAGCAGCAGCGGTGGTGACACCACCACCACCATCGCCACGACAAAGAGCAACAGCAGCGGTGTGAAGGCCGCAGGGTTCCCATCGCTCCCGCGCCTGCGCATGCGCACCCCTCTCTCTCACAGCATGGACGCCCGCTCGCTCTCCCTCCTCCCCCTCTGCGCGCCCTCTGACGGGTCGAAGCCACGTGGCGCTGCTGATTCAGCCAGTGGTGATGGTGGTGGTGGTGGGTGTTATCATGACCAGCTGAAGCAGCTGAACCCAAACCAGCTGCTGCTGCAGGAGCAGCGAGAAGAGCAGCGGGAGGAGCAGTGTGAGGAGCTTAAGCAGGAGCCGAAGCTATTCCAACACAAGCAGCAGCAGGAGGAAGAGAAGTGGGGGGATTCGCACCAGCAGCAGCAGCAGCAGCAGCAGAGAAAGGGGCAGGGACAGCAGAAGCAGCAGGGGGAGGCTCGGGTGCGACGTGGCAGCGTGGCAGTGGACGGCATGGGCGACTCGTTCCAGGAATTCAGGAGCCTACGGCCAGCAGAGTTTGTCCTACGCCGCACATACTCAGACGTCCACACCACCTATACCATCGACTACCAGGGAGCACCTCTTGGCACAGGGCAGTTTGGAGTCACCAGGAGGTGCTGGAGAAAGGGGAAGAAGGGGATGAGGGGCTCATCCCCTCATGAGGGCACAGGGGAGGAGCTAGCGTGCAAGACGATCGACAAGGCGAGCATCAAGACGCATGTGGATGCGGAGGATGTGAGGAAGGAAGTGGCGTGCTTGGAGCTGCTGGCCGGGCATCCCACTGTTGTGACCATCAAGGACGCGTTTGAAGATGCTCAGGTCAGTCATGGCTCGTGGCTCATGACCCTCCCCTTCTGTTTCCTCCCCACCCAACAGCACGTGCACTTTGTCACAGAGCTCCTCACATGCCGTCATTCTTCCTCACACCTCCTCTCATCCCTCCCCCATCTCTCCTCCCCACCTCTCTCCACCCCACAGCACGTGCACATCGTCACGGAGCTCCTAGCGGGCGGCGATCTCTTCGACAGAATCAGATCGCTACGCCGCCTCTCAGAGCCCTCCGCTGCCCGCCTGTGCGCCGCCCTGATCGAGGCCCTCCTGCACTGCCATTGCCGGGGCATCACGCACCGCGACATCAAGCCCGAAAACATCCTCCTTACAAGCCTCTCCTCCGACTCCGATATAAAGCTCATCGACTTTGGCGTGGCAACATCTTTCCAACGCGGCGTGCCGCTAACCGATGCGGTCGGGACTCCAGAATACATGGCTCCGGAGGTGCTCAGGCAGAGTTACGGTCCGGAAGCAGATATATGGAGCGCGGGGGTGGTGCTTTACGTGGTACTTAGCGGCGCGCCCCCGTTTTGGGGGTCTAAAAGCAAGTCGGTGGTGGAGAGGATACTCAAGAAAGAGGTGGCGTTCAGAGGGGCCAAGTGGGAGGGCGTGTCGGAGGAGGCCAAGGACCTGGTTGCTCGCATGCTGGTGAAAGATGCAAGCAAGAGGATCGGAGCTCTTGAGATTCTCGGTGAGTTGTTGTGAATCAGCTTTTGAGTCTGCTGTGCAATGCATCATTCTAGTCAGCTTGTGAGTGGGAGGGCGTGTCGGAGGAGGCTAAGGACCTGGTTGCTCGCATGCTGGTGAAAGATGCGAGCAAGAGGATCGGCGCTCTCGAGATTCTCGGTGAGTTGTGGATGTGACCTATGAGTCAGCTGTCTTTGAGTAAGCTCATAAGTGGGCGGGCGTGTCGGAGGAGGCCAAGGACCTGGTTGCTCGCATGCTGGTGAAGGATGCAAGCAAGCGGATCGGTGCTCTTGAGATTCTCGGTGAGTTGTGAACCAGCTTTAGAGTCTGTTGTGCATTGTCTCCTCTTTTGAGTTGATTCATAAGTGGGAGGGCGTGTCGGAGGAGGCCAAGGACCTGGTTGCTCGCATGCTGGTGAAGGATGCAAGCAAAAGGATCGGCGCTCTTGAGATTCTAGGTGAGTTATGCAACCTGTTACAATGTGCAACCTGTATTCAAGCATGCCAGTCACTTGTTGTCCCCGTGAACCTCCCTGCCTCAACTAGCATCCTGTCTTTTCTCCTGCCCTGCCTTTCCCGCGTGTCCCTGATTCGTCTCTTTCTCTCAGAGCACCCGTGGATTCAGAAATGGAAGCTTGCTCCTGGCACATGAATCGTGGCGTGAAGGTCAGAACAGACCTACAACAGAGATACACCAGAGTTACGGGTACACTGGAGAAGTTGCACAAGAGTTTCACGTGGTGTAGCAGTGGATACTGGCTGGATGAATACCAATTCGGAGTTGTCTGTAAGGCCTGCCGGGATGACGGTGATGAAGGGCTTCACCGCACCGCACAGAGGAGAATAAAGGCTGATTTGGCTCTCATTGCACGGGACCCGATTGCGACTGACCCGAGGATGAGCTGGGAGAAGGAATCATCGAGTTTTTAGTGCCACGATGGTGCTTTGTTGAAGGCACTTTCTGGCTGAGAGGAGCCCTGGGAGGAGCGGGCTCAGTTGTGGGGTGTGCTTTGGGGAGAGCATGTCCCGTGTTGTATATTATGTAGAAAGAAAGGGGACTGTAAAGGGGGAGAATCCGTAAGGATCTCTTTTTGGAGGAACACTCATTTGTTATTTGTTTCATTTCATTTCATTAGTTTATTAATTTTATCAGAAGTACACACTCTGTGTATGTGAGTGTGAACGGTGTGTTTTTTAGTGGACTCATGCGTCGACTTATCACACAAGAACAGGCTTGCCGTACAGTGCACTTTTCCGAAGGCAGCCATAACAGAGTACTAGCCGCATAATAGATTGACCAGTCGTAGGTCGATGCACCACCTGACACGCAGCGGCGGCGGCGGCGGCGACAGGATTCAGCTGCCTCTGCTTGCAATGTAGAATTCACATCACGCGCGTTCTCTGTCACATGTGCCGTGCCGTCTCTTGAGTGTTCCAGGCTGATTCTGAGGCGTCTTAAATGCACAGAGAGTGTTATGCCGTCTCAAACTTGGAAGTAGCTTCAATAAATCCTCACCCCGTTCTCAGTCAGTGTCCATGGCGGTTCCAACGCTCTCCTGTCGCGAATGCACCTGTTAATATAGACGTTTGGCACCAGATTATTTCATAACGAGGATGAAGCTGTTTGTGTTTATCAAGTTTCTCCGCGCGTCGCTGTCCGCAAGCGACGTGCTCGTTTCCCTGCTCGCTCTCACCCTCGCCTGCCACGTGGCACGCGTTCCGCAATGCGCGGACCTCTCCCATTGGCGCGTCGTCGTCAGCAGCCAGTCAAAGCTCGCGACGCTTCCGGAGCGCCTCATGGTAGACCAAATCAACGTCGACGCGCGACCCGAGTCGCAGGAGCCGCACGAATCGCAGGAAGCAGTGAAGCGGTTAAAGATAACAGGTGACAAGGTCTTGCCTGAGCAACCACAGCCAACGGTAGTCACAGCCAATGTCGCTTTTGAGAATTCTCAAAAGCAGAAGCAGGCGACCGTTGCGTCAATTCTAAACGCAGCTGAGCTTGAGAGTCGACCTCACGAGTCCATGCTAAGAATTCTCAAGAATGACTCAGTGTTGACTCCGAGTCGAGTTCAGCGGCTGGAAAACGGCCGTCGAAGAAAGCTTGCTGGCCGCAGCCGCAACTACAATGCCGCACCAGGACGTGCAGGCCCGGGCCGAGCCGCGCCAACAGGCTCGGGAGCTGGCTCTTCCAAACCAAGCCAGGGTCGTCGTTTCCCGTCGCTCGCGCTGTACACGGCTCCTATCGGGTACAACACGACCATGACGGCTTTAAAGCACGCCGTGCTCTCGTGGCTGCGCCTCGCGCCGCCTCCCTACACTCCTCGTGTGTACTTAATAGGCTCGCACCCGCTTAACTACTCCCGGCCGCACCCGTCGCTGGTTTGGCTGGCCAGGCAATTCCCAAGGCACGTGCACGCTATAGGAAGCGGGGATTCCCGAGGGAAGGGTGTGAGGAAGGGGAGACGGGGGGGAAATGGGGTAGGGGAGGGGGAAGGGGGGTACGAGGAAGTGGGGGAAGGGGAATCGGCGGAAGCGGATGGAGGGGGAGGGATTACGGGGAAAGGGGGAATGCAGGGGGGAGGTGTAGATGTGACTTATGACGGTGTGACAAAAATGAATTCGGTGTTTGCTCTGGCGATGGGGGACAGGCGGGCGGATGTAGCGGCGGTGATAGACCCTGACGTGGTGCTGCTGGGGGATGTGATGGCGGCTGTAGCGCGGCTGACGTGGCAGGAGGAGCAGGAGCGACGGGAGATGAGGAAGTGGGACAGAGGGTGGTGGAGGGGAGTGGGGGGGAGGGAGGGGGAGGCGGAGAGAGAGGAGGAGGAGGAGTAGGAGGAGGAGGTGGGGGGAGGGAGGAGGCACAGAGGCAGGCTGCTGCGAAAAAGGGATTCCCTGTCTCCTTCAGAATCCTCCTCCTCCTACCACTCCTCTTCTCCCTCTCCCCCTCTCCCTCTCTCTCCGAGATGGATTCTCACCTCTTCTCTCTGGCGAGTTTCCTGGTTCCCCTTCGTTCTCGACAATCTCCCCCCGGAAATCCAGCCGGCCAATCACAAGCCGCCAGCTGGCGTGGACGAGGCAGAGGTGCGAAAATTCTTGAGGCAGCATGCTGAGCTGGACAGTGGTGGGCCGATTGGGTTTGTGATGTGGAGCCAGAGACAGTTCCGGGAAGCTTCCTCTGCTGCGAGCATAGCCGCAGAACAAACAGCAGCAGCAGGAGTTGCAGGAGCAGGAGGGATAAGGGGAGGAGGAGAAGGAGGGGAAGGAGGGGAAGGAGAAGGTGAAGCAGCAGGCAATGTAGCAGCGTTCAACCGAAATGGGTTGCGAGTTTCGTTGTTTTCTGAGCCGATGCCGCCCTTTTTGTACGGGCGGGGCCCTCAGGGGTGGCAGTGGGTGCTTCGCCAGCTGGCGTGGGCTAGCCAAAGGGGGGATAGTACTAGTGATGGCGGCAAGGGGAGGCAGGGGGGCGACAAGGGGAAAGAGCGAACTCGGAGGAAGGGGGAGGCAGAGGAGGGAGGGCAGGGAGTGGAGGGCAGGTGGGCGCACAGAAGAGTGTGGAACTGGATGGGGGGCGTGGGGGGGAAGAGTGCAGCAGTGGATCGGGGGAGGGGGCTTGGGGAATATGCAATGGCCGAGCATGACTTGGTGCATGTGGTTGGTCGGTTGGGTAGGGAGGAGGGGAAGGTGGGAGGGGTCAGTAGGGAGGGTGTGGTGCATGTGGTTGACGGCACGGGTGCTGCCTCTGCCATCCGCATTGACCCTCTGTATGACTCGGTGAAAGAAGCCGAGCGGGCGAGGGGGGGTGTGGAGCAGAGTAGGGGAATGGGGGAAAGTGAGGGGGAGAGGGGGCGGAGCGGGAGGTGGATGGCGCTGCCAGCTGTGCATGGTGCCACGTGGCATGGGCAGGTGAATGCGATGCTGCTGCGAGGGGGAGTGGGGGAATTGGGGGAGGAGGGGGGGGAGGGACGGCAGGAGGGAAGGGGGGAGGGACGGGGGAAGGAAGGGGCCGTTGGGGGTATGAGAGAGGGAGCTGGAGGGGAGGAGGAGGGGGGGGAGGGGGGGGAGGGGGGAGAGATTGCATGGGAGTGGGAGAGGATGGGTGGCGAGCCTACAGTGGCACATATGCGATGGCATCTGGTCATGTGCCATGGGCCCGAAGGTGAGTCAACATTGTATAGAATATGGATGTAAGATGGCATGAGAATTTTGGTGGTGCGTGCTGCAGCATTAGGTGCTCTCGTGGCACATATGCGATGGCATCTGGTCATGTGCCATGGGCCCGAAGGTGAGTCAACATTGTATAGAATATGGATGTAAGATGGCATGAGAATTTTGGTGGTGCGTGCTGCAGCATTAGGTGCTCTCGTGGCACATATGCGATGGCATCTGGTCATGTGCCATGGGCCCGAAGGTGAGTCAACATTGTATAGAATATGGATGTAAGATGGCATGAGAATTTTGGTGGTGCGTGCTGCAGCATTAGGTGCTCTCGTGGCACATATGCGATGGCATCTGGTCATGTGCCATGGGCCCGAAGGTGAGTCAACATTGTATAGAATATGGATGTAAGATGGCATGAGAATTTTGGTGGTGCGTGCTGCAGCATTAGGTGCTCTCGTGGCACATATGCGATGGCATCTGGTCATGTGCCATGGGCCCGAAGGTGAGTCAACATTGTATAGAATATGGATGTAAGATGGCATGAGAATTTTGGTGGTGCGTGCTGCAGCATTAGGTGCTCTCGTGGCACATATGCGATGGCATCTGGTCATGTGCCATGGGCCCGAAGGTGAGTCAACATTGTATAGAATATGGATGTAAGATGGCATGAGAATTTTGGTGGTGCGTGCTGCAGCATTAGGTGCTCTCGTGGCACATATGCGATGGCATCTGGTCATGTGCCATGGGCCCGAAGGTGAGTCAACATTGTATAGAATATGGATGTAAGATGGCATGAGAATTTTGGTGGTGCGTGCTGCAGCATTAGGTGCTCTCGTGGCACATATGCGATGGCATCTGGTCATGTGCCATGGGCCCGAAGGTGAGTCAACATTGTATAGAATATGGATGTAAGATGGCATGAGAATTTTGGTGGTGCGTGCTGCAGCATTAGGTGCTCTCGTGGCACATATGCGATGGCATCTGGTCATGTGCCATGGGCCCGAAGGTGAGTCAACATTGTATAGAATATGGATGTAAGATGGCATGAGAATTTTGGTGGTGCGTGCTGCAGCATTAGGTGCTCTCGTGGCACATATGCGATGGCATCTGGTCATGTGCCATGGGCCCGAAGGTGAGTCAACATTGTATAGAATATGGATGTAAGATGGCATGAGAATTTTGGTGGTGCGTGCTGCAGCATTAGGTGCTCTCGTGGCACATATGCGATGGCATCTGGTCATGTGCCATGGGCCCGAAGGTGAGTCAACATTGTATAGAATATGGATGTAAGATGGCATGAGAATTTTGGTGGTGCGTGCTGCAGCATTAGGTGCTCTCGTGGCACATATGCGATGGCATCTGGTCATGTGCCATGGGCCCGAAGGTGAGTCAACATTGTATAGAATATGGATGTAAGATGGCATGAGAATTTTGGTGGTGCGTGCTGCAGCATTAGGTGCTCTCGTGGCACATATGCGATGGCATCTGGTCATGTGCCATGGGCCCGAAGGTGAGTCAACATTGTATAGAATATGGATGTAAGATGGCATGAGAATTTTGGTGGTGCGTGCTGCAGCATTAGGTGCTCTCGTGGCACATATGCGATGGCATCTGGTCATGTGCCATGGGCCCGAAGGTGAGTCAACATTGTATAGAATATGGATGTAAGATGGCATGAGAATTTTGGTGGTGCGTGCTGCAGCATTAGGTGCTCTCGTGGCACATATGCGATGGCATCTGGTCATGTGCCATGGGCCCGAAGGTGAGTCAACATTGTATAGAATATGGATGTAAGATGGCATGAGAATTTTGGTGGTGCGTGCTGCAGCATTAGGTGCTCTCGTGGCACATATGCGATGGCATCTGGTCATGTGCCATGGGCCCGAAGGTGAGTCAACATTGTATAGAATATGGATGTAAGATGGCATGAGAATTTTGGTGGTGCGTGCTGCAGCATTAGGTGCTCTCGTGGCACATATGCGATGGCATCTGGTCATGTGCCATGGGCCCGAAGGTGAGTCAACATTGTATAGAATATGGATGTAAGATGGCATGAGAATTTTGGTGGTGCGTGCTGCAGCATTAGGTGCTCTCGTGGCACATATGCGATGGCATCTGGTCATGTGCCATGGGCCCGAAGGTGAGTCAACATTGTATAGAATATGGATGTAAGATGGCATGAGAATTTTGGTGGTGCGTGCTGCAGCATTAGGTGCTCTCGTGGCACATATGCGATGGCATCTGGTCATGTGCCATGGGCCCGAAGGTGAGTCAACATTGTATAGAATATGGATGTAAGATGGCATGAGAATTTTGGTGGTGCGTGCTGCAGCATTAGGTGCTCTCGTGGCACATATGCGATGGCATCTGGTCATGTGCCATGGGCCCGAAGGTGAGTCAACATTGTATAGAATATGGATGTAAGATGGCATGAGAATTTTGGTGGTGCGTGCTGCAGCATTAGGTGCTCTCGTGGCACATATGCGATGGCATCTGGTCATGTGCCATGGGCCCGAAGGTGAGTCAACATTGTATAGAATATGGATGTAAGATGGCATGAGAATTTTGGTGGTGCGTGCTGCAGCATTAGGTGCTCTCGTGGCACATATGCGATGGCATCTGGTCATGTGCCATGGGCCCGAAGGTGAGTCAACATTGTATAGAATATGGATGTAAGATGGCATGAGAATTTTGGTGGTGCGTGCTGCAGCATTAGGTGCTCTCGTGGCACATATGCGATGGCATCTGGTCATGTGCCATGGGCCCGAAGGTGAGTCAACATTGTATAGAATATGGATGTAAGATGGCATGAGAATTTTGGTGGTGCGTGCTGCAGCATTAGGTGCTCTCGTGGCACATATGCGATGGCATCTGGTCATGTGCCATGGGCCCGAAGGTGAGTCAACATTGTATAGAATATGGATGTAAGATGGCATGAGAATTTTGGTGGTGCGTGCTGCAGCATTAGGTGCTCTCGTGGCACATATGCGATGGCATCTGGTCATGTGCCATGGGCCCGAAGGTGAGTCAACATTGTATAGAATATGGATGTAAGATGGCATGAGAATTTTGGTGGTGCGTGCTGCAGCATTAGGTGCTCTCGTGGCACATATGCGATGGCATCTGGTCATGTGCCATGGGCCCGAAGGTGAGTCAACATTGTATAGAATATGGATGTAAGATGGCATGAGAATTTTGGTGGTGCGTGCTGCAGCATTAGGTGCTCTCGTGGCACATATGCGATGGCATCTGGTCATGTGCCATGGGCCCGAAGGTGAGTCAACATTGTATAGAATATGGATGTAAGATGGCATGAGAATTTTGGTGGTGCGTGCTGCAGCATTAGGTGCTCTCGTGGCACATATGCGATGGCATCTGGTCATGTGCCATGGGCCCGAAGGTGAGTCAACATTGTATAGAATATGGATGTAAGATGGCATGAGAATTTTGGTGGTGCGTGCTGCAGCATTAGGTGCTCTCGTGGCACATATGCGATGGCATCTGGTCATGTGCCATGGGCCCGAAGGTGAGTCAACATTGTATAGAATATGGATGTAAGATGGCATGAGAATTTTGGTGGTGCGTGCTGCAGCATTAGGTGCTCTCGTGGCACATATGCGATGGCATCTGGTCATGTGCCATGGGCCCGAAGGTGAGTCAACATTGTATAGAATATGGATGTAAGATGGCATGAGAATTTTGGTGGTGCGTGCTGCAGCATTAGGTGCTCTCGTGGCACATATGCGATGGCATCTGGTCATGTGCCATGGGCCCGAAGGTGAGTCAACATTGTATAGAATATGGATGTAAGATGGCATGAGAATTTTGGTGGTGCGTGCTGCAGCATTAGGTGCTCTCGTGGCACATATGCGATGGCATCTGGTCATGTGCCATGGGCCCGAAGGTGAGTCAACATTGTATAGAATATGGATGTAAGATGGCATGAGAATTTTGGTGGTGCGTGCTGCAGCATTAGGTGCTCTCGTGGCACATATGCGATGGCATCTGGTCATGTGCCATGGGCCCGAAGGTGAGTCAACATTGTATAGAATATGGATGTAAGATGGCATGAGAATTTTGGTGGTGCGTGCTGCAGCATTAGGTGCTCTCGTGGCACATATGCGATGGCATCTGGTCATGTGCCATGGGCCCGAAGGTGAGTCAACATTGTATAGAATATGGATGTAAGATGGCATGAGAATTTTGGTGGTGCGTGCTGCAGCATTAGGTGCTCTCGTGGCACATATGCGATGGCATCTGGTCATGTGCCATGGGCCCGAAGGTGAGTCAACATTGTATAGAATATGGATGTAAGATGGCATGAGAATTTTGGTGGTGCGTGCTGCAGCATTAGGTGCTCTCGTGGCACATATGCGATGGCATCTGGTCATGTGCCATGGGCCCGAAGGTGAGTCAACATTGTATAGAATATGGATGTAAGATGGCATGAGAATTTTGGTGGTGCGTGCTGCAGCATTAGGTGCTCTCGTGGCACATATGCGATGGCATCTGGTCATGTGCCATGGGCCCGAAGGTGAGTCAACATTGTATAGAATATGGATGTAAGATGGCATGAGAATTTTGGTGGTGCGTGCTGCAGCATTAGGTGCTCTCGTGGCACATATGCGATGGCATCTGGTCATGTGCCATGGGCCCGAAGGTGAGTCAACATTGTATAGAATATGGATGTAAGATGGCATGAGAATTTTGGTGGTGCGTGCTGCAGCATTAGGTGCTCTCGTGGCACATATGCGATGGCATCTGGTCATGTGCCATGGGCCCGAAGGTGAGTCAACATTGTATAGAATATGGATGTAAGATGGCATGAGAATTTTGGTGGTGCGTGCTGCAGCATTAGGTGCTCTCGTGGCACATATGCGATGGCATCTGGTCATGTGCCATGGGCCCGAAGGTGAGTCAACATTGTATAGAATATGGATGTAAGATGGCATGAGAATTTTGGTGGTGCGTGCTGCAGCATTAGGTGCTCTCGTGGCACATATGCGATGGCATCTGGTCATGTGCCATGGGCCCGAAGGTGAGTCAACATTGTATAGAATATGGATGTAAGATGGCATGAGAATTTTGGTGGTGCGTGCTGCAGCATTAGGTGCTCTCGTGGCACATATGCGATGGCATCTGGTCATGTGCCATGGGCCCGAAGGTGAGTCAACATTGTATAGAATATGGATGTAAGATGGCATGAGAATTTTGGTGGTGCGTGCTGCAGCATTAGGTGCTCTCGTGGCACATATGCGATGGCATCTGGTCATGTGCCATGGGCCCGAAGGTGAGTCAACATTGTATAGAATATGGATGTAAGATGGCATGAGAATTTTGGTGGTGCGTGCTGCAGCATTAGGTGCTCTCGTGGCACATATGCGATGGCATCTGGTCATGTGCCATGGGCCCGAAGGTGAGTCAACATTGTATAGAATATGGATGTAAGATGGCATGAGAATTTTGGTGGTGCGTGCTGCAGCATTAGGTGCTCTCGTGGCACATATGCGATGGCATCTGGTCATGTGCCATGGGCCCGAAGGTGAGTCAACATTGTATAGAATATGGATGTAAGATGGCATGAGAATTTTGGTGGTGCGTGCTGCAGCATTAGGTGCTCTCGTGGCACATATGCGATGGCATCTGGTCATGTGCCATGGGCCCGAAGGTGAGTCAACATTGTATAGAATATGGATGTAAGATGGCATGAGAATTTTGGTGGTGCGTGCTGCAGCATTAGGTGCTCTCGTGGCACATATGCGATGGCATCTGGTCATGTGCCATGGGCCCGAAGGTGAGTCAACATTGTATAGAATATGGATGTAAGATGGCATGAGAATTTTGGTGGTGCGTGCTGCAGCATTAGGTGCTCTCGTGGCACATATGCGATGGCATCTGGTCATGTGCCATGGGCCCGAAGGTGAGTCAACATTGTATAGAATATGGATGTAAGATGGCATGAGAATTTTGGTGGTGCGTGCTGCAGCATTAGGTGCTCTCGTGGCACATATGCGATGGCATCTGGTCATGTGCCATGGGCCCGAAGGTGAGTCAACATTGTATAGAATATGGATGTAAGATGGCATGAGAATTTTGGTGGTGCGTGCTGCAGCATTAGGTGCTCTCGTGGCACATATGCGATGGCATCTGGTCATGTGCCATGGGCCCGAAGGTGAGTCAACATTGTATAGAATATGGATGTAAGATGGCATGAGAATTTTGGTGGTGCGTGCTGCAGCATTAGGTGCTCTCGTGGCACATATGCGATGGCATCTGGTCATGTGCCATGGGCCCGAAGGTGAGTCAACATTGTATAGAATATGGATGTAAGATGGCATGAGAATTTTGGTGGTGCGTGCTGCAGCATTAGGTGCTCTCGTGGCACATATGCGATGGCATCTGGTCATGTGCCATGGGCCCGAAGGTGAGTCAACATTGTATAGAATATGGATGTAAGATGGCATGAGAATTTTGGTGGTGCGTGCTGCAGCATTAGGTGCTCTCGTGGCACATATGCGATGGCATCTGGTCATGTGCCATGGGCCCGAAGGTGAGTCAACATTGTATAGAATATGGATGTAAGATGGCATGAGAATTTTGGTGGTGCGTGCTGCAGCATTAGGTGCTCTCGTGGCACATATGCGATGGCATCTGGTCATGTGCCATGGGCCCGAAGGTGAGTCAACATTGTATAGAATATGGATGTAAGATGGCATGAGAATTTTGGTGGTGCGTGCTGCAGCATTAGGTGCTCTCGTGGCACATATGCGATGGCATCTGGTCATGTGCCATGGGCCCGAAGGTGAGTCAACATTGTATAGAATATGGATGTAAGATGGCATGAGAATTTTGGTGGTGCGTGCTGCAGCATTAGGTGCTCTCGTGGCACATATGCGATGGCATCTGGTCATGTGCCATGGGCCCGAAGGTGAGTCAACATTGTATAGAATATGGATGTAAGATGGCATGAGAATTTTGGTGGTGCGTGCTGCAGCATTAGGTGCTCTCGTGGCACATATGCGATGGCATCTGGTCATGTGCCATGGGCCGAATATGGATGTAAGATGGCATGAGAATTTTGGTGGTGCGTGCTGCAGCATTAGGTGCTCTCGTGGCACATATGCGATGGCATCTGGTCATGTGCCATGGGCCCGAAGGTGAGTCAACATTGTATAGAATATGGATGTAAGATGGCATGAGAATTTTGGTGGTGCGTGCTGCAGCATTAGGTGCTCTCGTGGCACATATGCGATGGCATCTGGTCATGTGCCATGGGCCCGAAGGTGAGTCAACATTGTATAGAATATGGATGTAAGATGGCATGAGAATTTTGGTGGTGCGTGCTGCAGCATTAGGTGCTCTCGTGGCACATATGCGATGGCATCTGGTCATGTGCCATGGGCCCGAAGGTGAGTCAACATTGTATAGAATATGGATGTAAGATGGCATGAGAATTTTGGTGGTGCGTGCTGCAGCATTAGGTGCTCTCGTGGCACATATGCGATGGCATCTGGTCATGTGCCATGGGCCCGAAGGTGAGTCAACATTGTATAGAATATGGATGTAAGATGGCATGAGAATTTTGGTGGTGCGTGCTGCAGCATTAGGTGCTCTCGTGGCACATATGCGATGGCATCTGGTCATGTGCCATGGGCCCGAAGGTGAGTCAACATTGTATAGAATATGGATGTAAGATGGCATGAGAATTTTGGTGGTGCGTGCTGCAGCATTAGGTGCTCTCGTGGCACATATGCGATGGCATCTGGTCATGTGCCATGGGCCCGAAGGTGAGTCAACATTGTATAGAATATGGATGTAAGATGGCATGAGAATTTTGGTGGTGCGTGCTGCAGCATTAGGTGCTCTCGTGGCACATATGCGATGGCATCTGGTCATGTGCCATGGGCCCGAAGGTGAGTCAACATTGTATAGAATATGGATGTAAGATGGCATGAGAATTTTGGTGGTGCGTGCTGCAGCATTAGGTGCTCTCGTGGCACATATGCGATGGCATCTGGTCATGTGCCATGGGCCCGAAGGTGAGTCAACATTGTATAGAATATGGATGTAAGATGGCATGAGAATTTTGGTGGTGCGTGCTGCAGCATTAGGTGCTCTCGTGGCACATATGCGATGGCATCTGGTCATGTGCCATGGGCCCGAAGGTGAGTCAACATTGTATAGAATATGGATGTAAGATGGCATGAGAATTTTGGTGGTGCGTGCTGCAGCATTAGGTGCTCTCGTGGCACATATGCGATGGCATCTGGTCATGTGCCATGGGCCCGAAGGTGAGTCAACATTGTATAGAATATGGATGTAAGATGGCATGAGAATTTTGGTGGTGCGTGCTGCAGCATTAGGTGCTCTCGTGGCACATATGCGATGGCATCTGGTCATGTGCCATGGGCCCGAAGGTGAGTCAACATTGTATAGAATATGGATGTAAGATGGCATGAGAATTTTGGTGGTGCGTGCTGCAGCATTAGGTGCTCTCGTGGCACATATGCGATGGCATCTGGTCATGTGCCATGGGCCCGAAGGTGAGTCAACATTGTATAGAATATGGATGTAAGATGGCATGAGAATTTTGGTGGTGCGTGCTGCAGCATTAGGTGCTCTCGTGGCACATATGCGATGGCATCTGGTCATGTGCCATGGGCCCGAAGGTGAGTCAACATTGTATAGAATATGGATGTAAGATGGCATGAGAATTTTGGTGGTGCGTGCTGCAGCATTAGGTGCTCTCGTGGCACATATGCGATGGCATCTGGTCATGTGCCATGGGCCCGAAGGTGAGTCAACATTGTATAGAATATGGATGTAAGATGGCATGAGAATTTTGGTGGTGCGTGCTGCAGCATTAGGTGCTCTCGTGGCACATATGCGATGGCATCTGGTCATGTGCCATGGGCCCGAAGGTGAGTCAACATTGTATAGAATATGGATGTAAGATGGCATGAGAATTTTGGTGGTGCGTGCTGCAGCATTAGGTGCTCTCGTGGCACATATGCGATGGCATCTGGTCATGTGCCATGGGCCCGAAGGTGAGTCAATATTGTATAGAATATGGATGTAAGATGGCATGAGAATTTTGGTGGTGCGTGCTGCAGCATTAGGTGCTCTCGTGGCACATATGCGATGGCATCTGGTCATGTGCCATGGGCCCGAAGGTGAGTCAACATTGTATAGAATATGGATGTAAGATGGCATGAGAATTTTGGTGGTGCGAGCTGCAGCATTAGGTGCTCTCGTGGCACATATGCGATGGCATCTGGTCATGTGCCATGGGCCCGAAGGTGAGTCAACATTGTATAGAATATGGATGTAAGATGGCATGAGAATTTTGGTGGTGCGTGCTGCAGCATTAGGTGCTCTCGTGGCACATATGCGATGGCATCTGGTCATGTGCCATGGGTCCGAAGGTGAGTCAACATTGTATAGAATATGGATGTAAGATGGCATGAGAATTTTGGTGGTGCGTGCTGCAGCATTAGGTGCTCTCGTGGCACATATGCGATGGCATCTGGTCATGTGCCATGGGCCCGAAGGTGAGTCAACATTGTATAGAATATGGATGTAAGATGGCATGAGAATTTTGGTGGTGCGTGCTGCAGCATTAGGTGCTCTCGTGGCACATATGCGATGGCATCTGGTCATGTGCCATGGGCCCGAAGGTGAGTCAACATTGTATAGAATATGGATGTAAGATGGCATGAGAATTTTGGTGGTGCGTGCTGCAGCATTAGGTGCTCTCGTGGCACATATGCGATGGCATCTGGTCATGTGCCATGGGCCCGAAGGTGAGTCAACATTGTATAGAATATGGATGTAAGATGGCATGAGAATTTTGGTGGTGCGTGCTGCAGCATTAGGTGCTCTCATGGCACATATGCGATGGCATCTGGTCATGTGCCATGGGCCCGAAGGTGAGTCAACATTGTATAGAATATGGATGTAAGATGGCATGAGAATTTTGGTGGTGCGTGCTGCAGCATTAGGTGCTCTCGTGGCACATATGCGATGGCATCTGGTCATGTGCCATGGGCCCGAAGGTGAGTCAACATTGTATAGAATATGGATGTAAGATGGCATGAGAATTTTGGTGGTGCGTGCTGCAGCATTAGGTGCTCTCGTGGCACATATGCGATGGCATCTGGTCATGTGCCATGGGCCCGAAGGTGAGTCAACATTGTATAGAATATGGATGTAAGATGGCATGAGAATTTTGGTGGTGCGTGCTGCAGCATTAGGTGCTCTCGTGGCACATATGCGATGGCATCTGGTCATGTGCCATGGGCCCGAAGGTGAGTCAACATTGTATAGAATATGGATGTAAGATGGCATGAGAATTTTGGTGGTGCGTGCTGCAGCATTAGGTGCTCTCGTGGCACATATGCGATGGCATCTGGTCATGTGCCATGGGCCCGAAGGTGAGTCAACATTGTATAGAATATGGATGTAAGATGGCATGAGAATTTTGGTGGTGCGTGCTGCAGCATTAGGTGCTCTCGTGGCACATATGCGATGGCATCTGGTCATGTGCCATGGGCCCGAAGGTGAGTCAACATTGTATAGAATATGGATGTAAGATGGCATGAGAATTTTGGTGGTGCGTGCTGCAGCATTAGGTGCTCTCGTGGCACATATGCGATGGCATCTGGTCATGTGCCATGGGCCCGAAGGTGAGTCAACATTGTATAGAATATGGATGTAAGATGGCATGAGAATTTTGGTGGTGCGTGCTGCAGCATTAGGTGCTCTCGTGGCACATATGCGATGGCATCTGGTCATGTGCCATGGGCCCGAAGGTGAGTCAACATTGTATAGAATATGGATGTAAGATGGCATGAGAATTTTGGTGGTGCGTGCTGCAGCATTAGGTGCTCTCGTGGCACATATGCGATGGCATCTGGTCATGTGCCATGGGCCCGAAGGTGAGTCAATATTGTATAGAATATGGATGTAAGATGGCATGAGAATTTTGGTGGTGCGTGCTGCAGCATTAGGTGCTCTCGTGGCACATATGCGATGGCATCTGGTCATGTGCCATGGGCCCGAAGGTGAGTCAACATTGTATAGAATATGGATGTAAGATGGCATGAGAATTTTGGTGGTGCGTGCTGCAGCATTAGGTGCTCTCGTGGCACATATGCGATGGCATCTGGTCATGTGCCATGGGCCCGAAGGTGAGTCAACATTGTATAGAATATGGATGTAAGATGGCATGAGAATTTTGGTGGTGCGTGCTGCAGCATTAGGTGCTCTCGTGGCACATATGCGATGGCATCTGGTCATGTGCCATGGGCCCGAAGGTGAGTCAACATTGTATAGAATATGGATGTAAGATGGCATGAGAATTTTGGTGGTGCGTGCTGCAGCATTAGGTGCTCTCGTGGCACATATGCGATGGCATCTGGTCATGTGCCATGGGCCCGAAGGTGAGTCAACATTGTATAGAATATGGATGTAAGATGGCATGAGAATTTTGGTGGTGCGTGCTGCAGCATTAGGTGCTCTCGTGGCACATATGCGATGGCATCTGGTCATGTGCCATGGGCCCGAAGGTGAGTCAACATTGTATAGAATATGGATGTAAGATGGCATGAGAATTTTGGTGGTGCGTGCTGCAGCATTAGGTGCTCTCGTGGCACATATGCGATGGCATCTGGTCATGTGCCATGGGCCCGAAGGTGAGTCAACATTGTATAGAATATGGATGTAAGATGGCATGAGAATTTTGGTGGTGCGTGCTGCAGCATTAGGTGCTCTCGTGGCACATATGCGATGGCATCTGGTCATGTGCCATGGGCCCGAAGGTGAGTCAACATTGTATAGAATATGGATGTAAGATGGCATGAGAATTTTGGTGGTGCGTGCTGCAGCATTAGGTGCTCTCGTGGCACATATGCGATGGCATCTGGTCATGTGCCATGGGCCCGAAGGTGAGTCAACATTGTATAGAATATGGATGTAAGATGGCATGAGAATTTTGGTGGTGCGTGCTGCAGCATTAGGTGCTCTCGTGGCACATATGCGATGGCATCTGGTCATGTGCCATGGGCCCGAAGGTGAGTCAACATTGTATAGAATATGGATGTAAGATGGCATGAGAATTTTGGTGGTGCGTGCTGCAGCATTAGGTGCTCTCGTGGCACATATGCGATGGCATCTGGTCATGTGCCATGGGCCCGAAGGTGAGTGACATGGGAACGATGGTGATGCGTGCAGCAGAACGAACTAGGTACTAGCTTGGGATGGGTGGCGAGCCTACAGTGGCACATATACGATGGCATCTGGTCATGTGCCATGGGCCCGAAGGTGAGTGACATGGCATGGCCCAGGTGGTGAGTGCGATGGCATGGTAATGATGGTGATTGTGTTGTGTGCCGCAGAAGAAGTACGTACTAGGTTTGGAATGGGGGGGTGAGGTGATCCGATAGTGGATCATTTGCGGTGGCTTTTGAGGCGCCTCAAAAGGTGTGCCGCAGAAGAAGTAGGTTCTAGGTTTCGGATGGGGGGGTGAGGTGATCCGATAGTGGCACATCTGCGGTGGCATGTGGCCGGGAGGTGAGGTGGCATGGCATGAGTTGCAATGTGAGGTGGCATGGGAATTTATGGTGGTGCTTGCTGCTGCCAAAGTACGAGCTGACAGGCGCCGCACACCTCTCGCAACAGGGGTGCTCCTGCTCCTGCTCTCTTGAATGGTATGTGGCTGTCCAACCATTCTCTCTGCCTTCACTCGTATCCCACCCATCCACACAGGCGAGCACCCCTGTCTCATGCGTCGCATCCGACCCGGCATCTGCCCCTGTGAGCACGCCCACGCCTCCCCGTGGGGGAAAGGGGGGGGATTGTGTTCGCTTGAATGGGATGTGGCTGTTCAACCATTCTCTCTGCCTTCACTCGTATCCCACCCATCCACACAGGCGAGCATCTCATGCGTCGCATCCGACCCGGCATCTGCCCCTGCGAGCATGCCCATGCCTCCCGCCGCTCCTCCCTCCCCTCCTCCCCCTTCCGTGCCGGTCCCTACTTCGCCTGCTCCCCTGAACCTCCCCCTCCCCGTCCCCGCCCTGTACTCGCTATAACCCTCTCCAACACCTCGTTATTGGGAAGCCTGAGAGCAAAACATACTGCAGGAGGAGAAGTGGGAAGGGGGCCAGGGGAGGGCCTGGAGGGAGGAAAGGGACGGGAGGGTGGGGGCGAGAGCGGACGAGGCAAGGAAGAGGAGGTAGAGGTGGTGCGGGCACGGGGGTTAGAGGAGGTGGTGGGGGAGGTGGCAGATGGCAACAAGGCGGTGGTGCTTGTGGCGGTCACTCACCACTACGCCTCCATGCTTCTCAGCTTCGCTTGCATGTGGGTGCGTCATTCTTTCATGTGCTGTGTCATTGTCAATCAAGTGGTTCTGTCTTCAATTCTGTTGTGGTTGTTAGCGTTTTTTGTTTTGTTGATTTACAGTTTTTTTTCTTCTTTTTTTTTACCAAGTTTCAGTTCTCCTTGTTTTTCAACTCCTATTTTTCTCAAGTCCGCTTATGGTTATTTTTTTCAGCAATACTGTGTTCTTACGTCTGGTCCTATTTTTTCTCCTTCATTTGTTTTCTTTCTCTCTAGTTTAGCAGAAACCAGTATTTGTATTACGTGCCACGTGCAACCTATTCTTTCCTTTCCCTTTTTTCCCCCTCGCCTCTTCAGGCTCCGCCGTCTCTCAGTGTCCAACCTGCTGGTAGCAGCTCTAGACCCCACCGCCTACCGCATCGCTCTCCTGCACTCCCCTCCTTGTCTAGGGGCTAGAGACATCTCAAGCTTCCTCTCTTCCATCCTTCCCCGCTGTCTTCCCCCTTCCCTCCCTTCAGGCTCCGCCGTCTCTCAGTGCCCAACCTGCTGGTAGCAGCTCTAGACCCCACCGCCTACCGCATCGCTCTCCTGCACTCCCTCCCTGTCTTCTACGACAACATCACCACCACTGCTGCAGCAGCAGCAGCGGCGCTATCACCAGGGTCACACGGACCAGGGGGGGATGACGCAGGGCCAGAGGCGTGTCCGTTCAACAGCCACTGCTTCCGGCACTACACGAAGCTCAAGAGCCGCGCCGTGCTGCGGGTGCTGCGGCTGGGCTATGCCGTGCTGTGGAGCGATGTGGACGTGGTGTGGTTTGAGAACCCGATGCCGCTGCTGTGGCAGTATGGACAGGGGGTGCTGGCGATTCAGGTGAGGGTGCTTGCTGTACATGAGTGGTGCACATGTAGTGATACAGCGTCCCTGAGCTGTGAGTGCTGCGGGCGATGAGGCTGGGCTATGCCGTGCTGTGGAGCGACGTGGACGTGGTGTGGTTTGACAACCCGCTGCCGCTGCTGTGGCAGTGTGGAGAGGTGGTGCTGGCTATACAGGTAAGTGAGAGGTGTACTGTGATTGAGCCTTGCACATGGGGTGGACTGGCTTTCCTGTGCTACGGGTGCTGCGGGTGCTCGGCTGGGCTATGCAGTGCTGTGGAGCGATGTGGATGTGGTTTGGTTTGATAGCTCGCTGCCCGTGCTGTGGCAGTATGGGAGAGGGGGTGCTGGCAATACAGGTGAGCGGTTGTGCTGTACAGGAGTGGCTCCCGTAAACCAGAGCAACAAGCCTTACCCCCCTCTCCCAGTCAACTCCTCTTGCCGCATCAACAGTGACTTCTACCTCGCTCGCCCCTTTGAGTTCTTTTTTTAGTCACTCCTTTTTGCATGTTGTTTCGTGCACTGTATGCCACTTCCTCCCCCTTCCCAACCCCCCATCAGAGCAATGAGCCCGACCCCTCGCTCCCACCCAACGCCATCCGCCGCATCAACAGCGGATTCTATCTCGCTCGCCCGATTTATTAATCCCCTTAAACTCGTTCCTGTTACCCGTCTCCTGTGCACTGTGTGCCACTCTTTTCCCCATCAGAGCAACAAGCCCGACCTGTCACTCCCAGCCAACTCCATCCGGCGCATCAACAGCGGATTCTACCTCGCTCGCTCCCATCATAAATCTCTTTACCCTCTCTCCACTGACTCCTGTGTCCTGTGCACCTCCCCCTCACCCCCCCCCCCCCCCCCATCAGAGCAATGAGCCCGACCCCTCACTCCCACCCAACGCCATACGGCGCATCAACAGCGGATTCTACCTCGCTCGCCCCGACCCCCTCACCATCGCTGCACTCACCGCTGTGGTGAAGCATGCGGCCCACTCACGGCTGTCGGAGCAACCTTCCTTTTATGATGTTCTCTGTGGGGAGCACGGGGAAAGGCGGGTGAGTGATTTGTTCTGTCTGAACGTTACTCAGCTGCAGATTTTCCCTGGCACATGCTGCTGTCACTCTCACTCACTGCTGTGGTCAAACATGCCGCACACTCACGGCTTTCGGAGCAACCGTCCTTCTATGCTGTGTTGTGTGGGGAGAACGGGGAGAGGCGGGTGAGTGGCTTGTTCTGCTCTCACTGCTGCTGCTCTCAATCTCTCACCCATTCACCCTGCCGCCCATCCACCCTGCCATCCATTTATACTGCCGCCCATACACCCTGCTAACCATTCTCTGTACTTATCCATCACCCATCCTATCCCAACTGCCCCATGCCAGGTGGGCTCTGACGCGTGCCAGTGGACCAATGGCCTGAGAGTAGTCTTCCTGCCACGTCAGCAGTTTCCAAACGGGGCAGTTTACCAGCTGTGGGGGGCCAGGGAAGGAGATGCTGGCAGTGGACAAGGGGAGGTGTTATCTGGTGCTGATGGCCAGGGGGAGGTGGTATCTGCTGGGAGTGCGAGTGCGAGGGAGGAGTGTGAAAGAAGAGGGTGTGTGATTCTGCACAATAACTGGATCGCAGGTGGGTTGTCTTAGCAGCTTCAACACCTTACTACAGCACTTGGAGCTATAGCAGTTGCCTCCATTCGACACTCCTCCCCATCCTCGTCCCTGCCCTTGTTATTCTCCTAAAGTGCATTGTGTGAGCCTCCCCTCTCCCCACTTTTCCTTCTTCCCTCCCCCGTCCCCCCTTGCTCTAATTACAACCATTCACATGCAATTGGATCACCTCTCCATTTGCTACCTCGCCCTCCCCACCTCTCTCAGGCTACGATGCGAAGGTGTCGCGCATGAAGAGCCATAATCTATGGTACCATGACTCAACAAACCACATGTGCATCAATCCGTAGTGCACTTGTAAACAAAACACAATTTTGTAAAGAAAAGAAACATAGATTTTTATTTTATTCGATGTAATATATCAATATTGCTGCCTGACATAACTTCATATACCATTCAGTTACGTTTAACTAGTGATCACCAGAGCGACTCTCCGGTTCGCGTCCATTCGTCACAAGTCGTCCTACTCGCCAGCACCATTACTCTTCGCAAAGCGTGGCCGGGTTACCTCCTGCCACTATTTTAGAAGTGCTTTTGACAATCAGCTAGTTTTCTTGCGGGAAAACTATCTCTCGCTAATCGCACAGGCCTCGCTGTGTCATTGGTGCAGTTCAATCTTCTAGCACGATTCGTTGCACCTGCGAAGTGCGACGACCGAGGAGCGAGAAGAGACGAGCCACAAGTGACGAGTGACGATGTCGTTAGGGTTTGCGCGCGACAGCGCGGCGGAGGTGCGACTAGACGCCGCGTTGCAGCGACTCCGCGCGCTCGACTCGAGCGTGCGACCGTCGTCCATCGTCGCCGTCGGGGACGCCCTCCCGATCGGCGCCGATGCATCCTTCCTCAGGTAATGCCTTTCTCACGTAGCACCGTCCTCAGATAATACCTCCCTGTCTAGCTCGACTCGAGCGTGGGACCGTCGTTGATCGTCGCCGTCGGGGACGCCCTCCCAATCGGCGCTGATGCCTCTTTCCTCAGGTAACGCCGTCCTCAGGTAACACCTTCCTCAGGTACCGCCGTCCTCAGCTTTCTCAGGTAGAACCCTTCTCAAGTAGCACCTTCCTCAGGCGATACATTCTTCTGTGAGGTGCTCACTGCCTCTGCAATCATGGTGCTGCAATCACGCAAACACTTCTTAGCTAACAATGCTGCTGCTGCTGCTCTGCGCTGCTGCTGCTGCTGCTCCTCCTCCTCCTCCTCTCCCTCTGCGTGTCTGGGTGGGGTTGGCAGGGGGCACGGCACGAGGGAGGGCGAGGAGGGGCAGGTGTGCGCGACGGTGTGCGGCGTGGTGAAGCGCATCAACCGTCTGCTCTCCGTGCAGCCACTCAAAACCTGGTGCGTTGCGGTGCAGTGCGGTGGGATGCGGTGTGTGTGTGTGTGTGTGTGTGTGTGTGTGTGTGTGTGTGTGTGTGTGTGTGTGTGTGTGTGTGTGTGTGTGTGTGTGTGTGTGCTGTTGCGACATGTCTGTCTGTGCTTGCATACCATGTGTGGTGAAGCGCATCAACCGCCTGCTCTCCGTGCAGCCACTCAAAACCTGGTGCTTTGCGGTGCATTGCGGTGGGTTGATGTGATGCATTTTATTGTCGTGTCGTGTCGGGTCGTGTCGGGTCGTATCAAGTCATGTGCTTCATGGGTAGGGCAAGCCAGGGTAACAGATCGCACTCGCCCCCCGAAGAGGAACCTGACTGCACGTCAAGTCAGGGAGCCTTTCTTTACCCCCCTCGCCACTTCGTTCTCCCCACCTCTTTCTCCCCACACTGCAGATATGTGGCGCAGACAGAGACAGGAGACGTGGTGGTGGTGGTGGGGTGGGTGACAGAGCTCGCTCTCAAGCGGTGGAAGCTGGCTGTGGGGTCGGCACATGATCTCTCCCTCTTTTTTCCCTTCCCTCTCTCCCAATACCCCAGGTATGTGGCGCAGACAGGAGACCTGGTGGTGGTGGGGCGGGTGACAGAACTCGCTCCCAAGCGGTGGACAGTGGGACACACTCTGCACGTGTGGCACAAAACGCCCTTCCCCCATTCCCCTTCTTGCCTCCCTCCCTTCCCATTCCATCCCCAGGTACGTGGCACAGACAGGAGACGTGGTGGTGGTGGGGCGGGTGACAGAGCTGGTCCCATGCGGTGGAAGCTGACTGTGGGGTCGGCACGTGATATCCACCCCTCTCCCCATTTTTCCCTCCCCTCTCTCCCCCCCACACTGTCTACAGGTACGTGGCGCAAACAGGAGACGTGGTGGTGGGGCGCGTGACAGAGCTCGCCCCCAAGCGGTGGAAGCTGGCTGTGGGTTCGGCGCATGAAGCACAGCTCATGCTCTCCGCTATCAACCTGCCGGGGGGAGCGCAGGTAAAGGGGGGCGCGGGTGGGGGGAAAGGGCAGGCGGTAAGGTGCGGTGCGGGTGGGGAAGGTGGGGCCGGCCCAAGCAGTGGAAGCTGGCTGTGGGGTCGGCGCATGAGGCACAGCTCATGCTCTCCGCCAACAACCTGCCGGGGGGGGCTCAGGTGAGGAGGAGGGCAAGTGAGAGGAGGGCAGGTGGTGGGAGGTGGTGGGGGGGGGGGGGCACAGGTGGAAGCTGCATGTGGGGTCGGCACATGAAGCACAGCTCATGCTCTCCGCTATTTACCTGCCGGGGGGGGATCAGGTGAGTGGGAGGGCATGTGGTAAGGCGCTTGAAGGGGGGAGAGAAGCATAGGAAGCTGGCTGTGGGGTCGGCGCATGAGGCACAGCTCATGCTTTCCGCCGTCAACCTGCCGGGGGATGCTCAGGTGAGGGGGCGTGGGTGAGAGGGGGGCGCAGGTGAGAGGAGGCGCAGGTGAGAGGGCGCAGGTGAGAGGCGCAGGTGGGGGGGGGCGCAGCTGAGATATGTATAAACGGGATGAGGCGGCGGGTGTAGAGGAGGAAAGTCAAAGAGCAGCCGTAAGTGAGTGGCACTAATTGTAATGATTCCTGCTATTCAAGTGAGTGGCCTGCGTCATCCATGTTATTCCTTTTTCCCACCCCTCCATATATACCCTCTCTTTTTTCCTTGATTTCTATTTTCCAGAGGCGGCGCACAGCAGTGGATGAGTTGAATATGAGGAACATCTATGTGGAGGGGGACCTAGTCACGGTGAGTAGAGCTCCAGACACTCTTGATGCGTCTTATGTATCCGACCATAAGGCGGCTATGCGATCGCCTCACCTCACAGCAGTGGATGAGTTGAATATGAGGAACATCTATGTGGAGGGGGACCTAGTCACGGTGAGTTGTAGTAACGCTGAATACTGAGTGCACAGGACTCGTGGCTCTGTTGCGTGTGATCCGAGGATGCTTACGGTGGTTGGACTTAATGCGACCAATGTGCCGCTTTGTTGCATCAATGATTTTCCATCAAGTGTGTTTCAGTGTCGTATCCTTGTGGTGTTTTCCGAATAGCACACATGATGATGAGAACATTGACATGGTTTTGCTTTCTTCTTCACCTCCCTGACGTCTACAGGCGGAGGTGCAGAGTGTGTTTCACGATGGATCAGTGGTGCTGCACACTCGTAGCGATAAATATGGCAAGGTATGGATGAGTAGAGCTTTGTTTCGAGACGTCTCAAAACCTTGTGTTTCGTACCTTGTGTGGCGGTTAAAGCAGTCTCCGTGACGCCATGTTGCTGCATTCTCATTCCATGTGCGCGTTTGTTCCCATCGCCCAGTTGTCAGGAGGTTTGCTCGTACACGTCCCCCCGTACCTCGTACGCCGGCTCAAGCAGCATTTCCACATGCTCTCGCCCTCCGGCCCACTCCTTGTCTTTGGCTGCAACGGCTGGCTATGGGTGGGCCAACCGCCTCCCTCCACCTCCTCATCCGGCTCACCTGGGACCCAGGGTGAAGGGGCTAGCGGGGGTGTTGGTGGCGGTGCTGGTGGGAAAGGTGCGGCTGAGACGGTTGTGGGTGTGGAGGAGCGGGAGAGGATTTGTCGAGTGGCGGCGGCGATTCGGGCACTAGAGAGGGGAGGTTTGGCGGTTGATCCGCCGGCGCTGGCGAGAGTGGTGGAGTGGAGCGTTGCAATGGGCGTGTCGGTGGCGGAAATGGGCGATGAGGATTTTGTTGCGACTGTTGTGGAAAAGGAGGTGGAGAAGAGGGAGGCGGATGCGGCGGAAGGGAGCTGATTGTGTCGCTACTCTGAAAATTTTATTATAGTTTGAAATATATATACCGGTATTTGTGAAGAACGTGAAGTTAAATATTTATCTCTTAGCGCCAAACTAAAAGCGAGGCCTCTCGCATCTTTCAGTCGTATGCAGGTTTGTCGGGTTCGCTGTAGGGTGAACACAGGTTGCAAAACCGGAACACCATTTTCCGTACACGAGGCAGTGTGTCGAACTTGCTGTAGAAACATCAATTTGCGGGTAGTTTTTTCCCGCTAAAAGTGATGCTTTTATTGCCACAAACTCTGCATGCAATTTTGGTCCATACGTTTGTACGACTTGTCGGGCAGCAGGATGAAAGGACAACATCAGCAGCCTCCAAACTCTGACGGGGCACCAACAACAACTGCACATGGGTGACGTCACTAGACAAGCCAACACCGTCGCAATTGGAGTGTCGACTAATATTTTTAGGTCACTCTATTTTTTCGCGGTTCCTCAAATACCATAGACTTCGACTTACCGCAGTTAACTTACCTGTCTGCCGTCCTAATTATTTCTACTACCTCGAGGTAGCCTCTATTAATTATTTTTATTCAAACACATGTCTCACCTCAGTCTGACATCAATGCAAGTCACATTCCGCATTTTAAGTCGTATCTGACGGTCTAGGTGAACGCATGGAAGTAGCGTTTCGCTCCGCACTCTCGACTTCCCAACCGCATCAACCAGCATTAGGTCTCGCCGCCGAACCCGCCGCGATGGACGCGTTTCAGTCCGAGGATCGTTACAATGAGTACTCTTTGCAAACTGACTATAACGAGTATGGAGCGCGGGACGCAATGGGGAATGCTTCGCATGAGCATGGACATGCTGGGTTTCACGATGGTTACGCTTACGAGGGTAACGATTACGATCATTCAGGCTATGATAATCCTGCTGAGGAGCTGTACGGTGATCCGCATGACACGTGGCACGAGCAACCTCAGACGCAGCAGCAACAACAGCACCAGCAGCAATACCAGCAACAGCAACAGCAGCAGCAGCAGCAGCAGCAGCAGCAGCAGAAGCAGCAGAAAGGAAGGAAGGTCAAAGTAAAGGCGCCAACGCAGCAAGCCGTTTCACGAAGCAGAAGCACCGAGGAGACTTTAAGAGGGGGGCCTGGTGAAAGGTACAAGGAGAGGGGACGGGGACGGCACAGGGATAGTTATAACGACATGGAGTATATAAGAGACGAGGAGAGCGGAGAGGCGGAGGAGGAGGGGGATGACGGAGGTGCGTGCGAAGGAGATGACTTCAATAACGGGGATGGCGGGCTTCGGGTGATAACCAGCAGTGAAGTCTGTAACGCGGATAACAGTTGTGCTGTTGTGGGAGAGGTTCTGGATCCGATAGAAGACGTTCCGAAGCCTAATAACGAGTGGGACGACATTCCGTTGGGTTACTCTATCTCCACACCTGTCGGAAATTACCCTAACCAGCATCCGGATGCGCTAAGACAGAGCATCTTCAAACGAGGACGTGGTGTACAGGTCTTGGACGAGAAACAATTAGAAGAGCATAAGCAGCGGCAGGAACAGCAGCAGGAGCAGCAGCAGGGTGGGGAATTAGCAGCAGACCAGCACTTGGACCCGTGGTTGAGAGCGCCTGTAAGAAAGGTTAACGCATGGTTTGAAACCGCAGCTGTAGTCGATCCTAACGTTGTTCCGCCTCTTCCTCTCCCTACTCCTGCTGTTCCTGTCGCTCCTGCTGCTGCTGGTGGTGGCGGTGGTGGTGCTGTTGCTGCTGCTGCTGCTGTTTCCGCTCCTCCCCCTGCTCCTGTTGCGTCTGCCCCTGGTTTGGTAACGGGCAGTGGATTGAAAGGGCGGAGACGCGTGGAGGGTGCATATAATGAAGGTGTTAATATTGAGAGGAATGATGCTCCTGCTGACCTCAGCAGGGGTATGGACGGTGGAGTTGCGATCTGGGAGCAGCAGGAAGGTGAGAGTGACTATGAATTCCGTGACAGAAACGAGGGACAGGCAGGGGTGCGTGAGGCTGGGAAGCGTGGGTCTAGAGGGGGGAGTGGAGGTGAGGGAAGTGCGTATAAAGGGCGGGACGATGGCGATTTGTTCGGTGGGGATTGTAGGGATGGGGAGGGATGGGAAGTGGTGGAGGAGGGGCAGGAGGAAGAGGAGGGAGAGGAAGGTGTGGGAAGGGAGAAGGGCGGAGGAGAGGAGGAGGAGGAAGAAGAAGAGGAAGTGGGGGGAACGAGAAGGACCGGGAATTCAAAAGAGGATTCTTATGAAAATGGCGGAGTGTACTGTGGTGCTGTCTATAACGAGCACGGCGAGGATGCTTATGGTGGGTATGGCGGGCAGGGGTTGGGGGTGGATAGGAGAGGTGGGAGTAGGGGGTTTGGGGGGCTTGGAGAGGAGGGAGAGGAGGAGGAGCAGGAGGAGGAGGAGGAGGAGGAGGAGGAGGAGGAGGAGGAGGAGGAGGAGGAGGAGGAGGAGGAGGAGGAGGAGGAAGGGGAGGAGGAAGGGGAGGAGGAGGATTTTAAACAGCACAGACAGGCTCAAAAGGAGGCTGCTTTGCAGGGGCACTCACAGGGGAAGGCACAGGGGACCGCACAGGGGCGTGCACAGGTATCAGCGCGTGATGGGATGCGGGTGGCGGGAGGGGGGGGAGGGGAGGATGAGAAGGCGCGGTGGGCGCAGAAGTGTGCCTCGCGGCTGAAGGAATGGGAGAGAGAGGAGGATGAGGATGATGATGAGGATGGCGTGGGGGAGGGGAGAGGGGACGGTGGAGAGAGGGGAGAGGATGAAGAGGAGGAAGAGGAGGAAGAGGGGGAAGAGGAGGAGGAGGGGAAAAGGGGTGCGGACATGTATGGAGAAGACTACCGGTTTAATAGAGATGGGGAGAGAGGGTATGGAGACAGGGGTTATGAGGAAGAGGAGTATGGGAAGGGGGAGCATGGAGAGGGGGTGTATGAAGAGGGTGAGTATGGAGAACGGGAGCATAGAGCAAGGGGGTATGGAGAAGAAGGGGGGTATGGTGAGGGGGGTTATGGGGAGGAGGGGCATAGAGAGGGGGAATACGGAGTGGGGGAGTATGGCAGGGAAGGGTATGCAAATGGAGAGGGTGCAGGAGCCTGGCAGGAGGAGCATGAAGGGGAGGACGCAGGAGAGCATATGGGAGGGGCAGTGAGAGGGCAGATGGGCGGGCAGATGGGCGGGCAGATGGGCGGGCAGATGGGCGGGCAGATGGATGATATGTATGGGTCGTTTGACGTGACTGGGGCTGCGTATGGGGGGGGTTCTGGTCGGTACTCATCGCATGGGGAAGGGGAGGAGATAGTAGAGGAGGAGGAGCAAGAGTGTGACGAGTCACAGGTGGTAGGTGCGGTAACCGCACGCGCCATCGCTCTGGCTCCCACTGTAGGTGGTTGGTCAGATGACGCAAGGGGATCGAATTTGCCTGCCCCCTCGCCCACCACTCCCCTCGCCCGCCCTGCTGCCCGTGCCACTGCCCCTGCTACTCTCCAATCCACGGCCACTGCTGCTCCCGCTGCTGCTGCTGCTGCTGCTGGTGCTGCTGCTGTTGCCGCTGCTGCTGGTGGTGGTGGGGGTGGGAAGAAGGTGGGTAGGGGTCAGAGAATCGGTCGGGTTGGTGCCGGTTCTGGTGGGGAGGGAGTGGGGAGCGGAGGGGAGAGTGATAATAGCAGTGCAAGGGGCCGAATGAGAGGTGGAGCAGGGAGTGGGATGGGTGGAGGACGCGGAAGGGGAGGGGGAGGGGGTGTGGGGCGGACGCGGTTGGGGCAACGTTCGGATGATGAGGGATGGGGGGGCGAACAGTCAGGGGTGGGGGGGCGAGCAGAGGAGGGTGGGAGCGTGGGGGAAGGGGGCGGATGGGGGGAGGGTGGGGCGGTGGGAGAGGGGGACGCATGGGGTGAGGGTGGCGGGTATGATCAGTATGGGTACCAGCAGCATCAGCATCAGCAGCAGCAGCATCAGCAGCAGCAGCAGCAGCAGCAGCAGCAGCAGCAGCAGCAGCAGCAGCAGCAGCAGCAGCAGCAGCAGCAGCAGCAGCAGCAGCAGCAGCAGCAGCAGCAGCAGCAGCAGCAGCAGCAGCAAGGGTTGGGATTACAGGGAGCAGCAGCAGGCAATGGCAGTGGTGGCGAGTGGCATGAACACGACTACCAAACCAGACACGATCCAGACACGGGGTTAGGGGATGCGTATGTGCATGGGTATGGCAACAGCGTTGATCAAGACACTGGGTTCGGGGATGGGTACGGGAGCAGCCACATGCAGGATGGGTATGGGAATGATACCAGGGATGCGTTTGGAGATGGGTTTGGGGATGAGTATGGAGATGGGCACGGGGATGGCTATGACAATGACCACCACCCTCACACCCAGCAGCCACATTACTTGCAGCAGCAGCAGCAGCAGCAGCAGCAGCAGCAGCAGTCTTACTTGCAGGGTCAGCAGCAGGACTCCCAACAACATTACTCCCAGCAGCCTTTCTCGCAGCAGCAGCAGCAGCAGTACTCAGATGCTCTCAATTCATTCTCCCAGCCCTCTGACCCCTCAACCTCTTTCTCACAGCAGTCTGTTGATCCGCGGCAGCAGCAGCAGCAGCTGCAGCAGCAATCATACTCGTATGACCAGCAGCAACAACAATCGTTTTCGCAGCAGCAGCAGCAGCAGCCGTATTCCCAGTATTCCCAGGACACCCAGCAAGGATATTCTCAGGGATCGCAGCCGTACCATCACCCGCAGCAGCAGCAGCAGCAGCAGCAGCAGCCACACGGCCCGCAGCAAACACCCCCCTTGCAAAGCCCAAGCCCATACTTCGACCACCACCCTGATCCATCCCAAGATAGCTTCCCCCCTGCCCAGTCGTACGGGCAGGGTAGCATGCCTGCTGTAACACCCCGACGGGCAGGTAAAAAGTCTATCCAGTTCCAATCCGTGCCTGGGGATGGTTTTGGGCAGCAGGAGGAGGTTTATTGCCCTCCTATCACTCCTGGCCGTGCTGCGGGGGGGAGTGGAGGAAGAGGAGGGAAAGGGAGCGGGCAGGGTGGGAGGCTGAGTGGAGATGAAGGAAGAGGAAATTACCCACAGCAGCAGCAGCAACAGCAACAGGTGGTTTCAGCAGCAGCAGCAGCAGCAGCACAACAGCAGTATGCTCCCACTACCCCTGGACGCTTGAAAAAGCCAGTGGGGGGGATTCATCAGCCAATCACACCGCGACATGTGGCTGCTAGAGGAGGAGCGAGTGGTGGGGGTGGTGATGTTAGATTCGATCCTGTCACACCAAGATTTGATCCTGTGACTCCAAGATATGATCCTGTCACTCCAAGATACGATGCTGTAACTCCTAGATTCGATCCTGTTACTCCGAGACGAACCAAACAAGCGAATCAGCAGCAGTACCCTCAGAATTATCAACAGCAGCAGCAGCAACAGCAGCCGCAAAACCAGCAGTACGGGTACCAGCAGGATGAAGCACCACCACCAACAGCAGCAGCACCACCAGCAGCAGGAGAGGCGGTTACCAGGCGCAAGCAGCGTGTGGCCTTTGACGACCAGGTCGAGGAAGCTTATATCGAGGATGGGGATTTGCAGACCAATGTGAGATCCCTTAGCATGAAAAGAGGCGACAAGGCAAAGGGAGTGGGTGGAGAGAAACCAAAGGTTGGTGGGGGAGGAGGTGGGGGAGGAGCAGGGGCGATGGGGAAGAGCGGACAAGCACAGGGGGGACGGGAGGAGAGGAGGGGACGGATACAGAGGCCTATGGAGGATGGGGGAGAGGGGAGGGGGCGGCTTCAGAGGCCTATGGAAGATGGGGAGGAGAGGAGGGGACGGATACAGAGACCAATAGAGGATGGGGAGGACAGGAGAGGGCGACTTCAGAGACCTATGGAGGATGGGGAGGAGGGGGGGAAGGGGAAGAGGTATGGGGGTGATGTTGCTCGGACTCCCCGGAAAGGGGGGGAAGGGAGGGGAGACGGGAGAGGGGGGGAATGGAGAGGGGGAGATGGGCGAGGGGGGGAAAGGGATGGGCGGAAAGGGGAGGGACCGGAGGGTAACGGCAATCTAGCTCTAAAGAGGCAGCTGAGTCTGAAGCTTGCTGTTCCCTCCACTCCCCGGGGAGAGGGCGGGGGGGTTGGCGGCGGGCCGAAGAGCGTGAGAGGACGCAGTAAGAGCGGCGCGTGGGAGATGGAAGAAGGCGGGAGGAGAAGAGGAGGAGGAGGGTCAGGAGGAGGAGGGGGAGGAGGGGGGTGGGGAGTGGAGGGAGGGAGCGGCGGGAGTGGCGGAGGGAGCGGAAGGAGGGAGCGTTTTGACGAGTTTGGGGATTCGTATGGGTCCGGTGGGATGCAGAGTGGTGGAATCCAATACGGTGGGATGCAGGGGTCAGGAGGAGGGGGGCGAGAGAGAAGGCCTCGAGGGGCGGGAGCAGGAGAAATGGTTCCTAAGACGCCCAGGGAACAAAATCCCAAGACCCCACGGGGTACGGCTGGTGGTGGTGGTGGTGGTGGCGGTGGTGACAGTGGGTTTTTGCGCACTCGAACGATGGATAGAGGAGAAGGGAAGTCGGGTGACAAGGGAGACAAGAGAAGCGCGGACAGAGGAGGAGGGTTTGGGCAGGGGAGGACAGGGAGCAAGGAGGCGAGGGAGCGAGGGGAGCGAGGAGAGAGGGTGCAAGGGGGTGCATCGGGAGCAGCAAGAAGGATAGAGGTGACTAAGAGTATGTCTAGTAAGGACATGGGGAAGGGTGGCGGCACAGGGAGAGAGGTGAGCAAGAGCACGAGCTTTTCCCTGAAAGCAGCTTTCTTTGGGAGGGATTCGAAGGAGGGGAAGGGAGGGAAGGAGAAAGAGGGGAAGGAGAAGGACAAAGAGAAAGGGAGGGAGAAGGAGAGGGAGGGGAAGGATGGTGGGTGGGCGAGGAGTCGAACAATGGATAATACCGAGGTGAAGATGCAGAGACAGCTGAGCTACAAGAGGGGACCGTTTTGAAACAACTGTAGTCTATTGAGGCGCCTCGGGAGGGGAGGGATGGTGAGTGGACGAGGAGTCAAACTATGGATAATACCGAGGTGAAGATGCAGCGGCAGCTGAGCTACAAGAGGGGGCCGTTTTGATGTGAGTGTAATTATGGTGATTCTGAAATATGGGTTTGAGAAAAGAGGATCGTTTGTATTGAAGCAGGGGGGAACAACTCAACTCAAAGCATGCCAACCAGCAGGGGTCCTCAGTGTGTGTACTCTAGCGGCAATAATGTGGCTCACAGTGGGAGCATTTTTTTCCCTGTTTCAAGGATAGTGAACTAAAATGCGGCTAATGAAGGAAACGGAAGATTGGAGGGGTGCGATCTGGCTTGACTCCGAACACTATGCTGGAACTACAATCAAAGGGATAACCTGTGTAATCTCATCTGTAAGGAAAATTCCTTTTCCTTACTTCGCGTCCCTGCTTACCGCATACATGCCCGTTCCCGCCATCGGCACCCATCCGTGAACGTTACCCGCTCGCGACATTCGCCTCGACCACGACTCCCGCCACTGTTCACGATACGACCCAACCTCACGGTTCGGTTGGTAACCCGCGCTCCGGACCTCCGCCTCGACAATTCCCAACCTCGGCGCTAGGCCCGTAGCGCACCCCATTTTCCCACATTACCGTTACCACGCTAGCTTCGCTATTATTCTTCGCTCATGTTTTCGCTCGATGTCTTGATTGCTTCGATAGTGCAATTCTCACTAGCTCATAATCAATAATCCTACTTTTTCTTTTCTACGTTTTTTGCTAATTCTCGCTGTACTTATTATCAAGATCGTCGACCCATCAACTCGAAGGGTGTGGTGAGAAATTCTTTTCGCTGGTCGGTCGGCTATCCTCGGGCGCTGCGGGTGAAATGCATCCTTGTAAATTCGCGGTGCGTGCCATCCAGAATGTGTGCACGTTAATAAATTTGTGGTTTCCCTGCGTCGTCTGTACACTTACATGCTTGGCCGGGTTACTGTATCACGGATTTGTGTCGTACGTTTCGGCAATTCCAGCAGTGAAGCTGATCTGGGACTGCCAAAATTGAGTGCTCTTTGACAACAACCTCAAAAAATGTACTCACCTGTTTAATGGACAAACCATGGTACAACTGTATCGCACGGCTCACTCTGCTCTGATAGTTCCCTACAGCTGCCTCTTGCTTTGATGCTTTGTAAAGGGTGTCGTAAGAAACCCATTCCTTATCCGCACTGAAACCGTGTGACACTCTGTGATGCTTATAAACAATATTTACTGCCCATGTTTTCTCCAGGGGTATCCAGAGTCGATAAATTTTCACTCGACATTTTTGTAACGCCGGAACCGAACAGCATCCCGAGTCCCCGCTTTCCCTTCGCTTGCTTTTCCTCCCTTCCGTCCCTTCTCCGTGGTCCGCTGCATGTCTCTGTAGTAGTGCTCGTGCATTCCTTCGTCGCGTGGACCAGTGCTGGGTAATTCTGGCTGGCAAACCTAATCGTTTCGGAAGTTGCTGATTGAGTTTCTCATGACGGAAATCACGTTCAATAAACTCGTTATCGAGAGGCAGCGTCGGACAGCTGGGCGACAGAACGATGCGTCCCAGCAGGCTGGACGATTGAAAAGCGACAGGGTTGGCAAAGGCTAAAATCGTCGCAAAGCAGCTCTTTTTACAGCCGCTGTCGCAACGAATCACTGATGGTACAGCACGTCCGATTCACTCGACGTCGCCAAGTCGACAGAACCGTCAAGAGAGAAGCAGTCCATTGAAATTGTGTTGCGATGGCCTGCGAAGGCAAAAAGGGTCACAGCCTTCCACAGCATCGGCTATGATGTAAAAAATAATTAACTCTGTCACAGGTTGCGACTTGCTCTCGCATTTCCTCGAAAAAGGGATGTTCTCTCTTTCACCATTATCCCAGTTTTCGCGCCGCACGTGCGTACATTTCATTTGCAACATGAGCACCTGTGCAGTGACCCGTAGTAGATCAGGTTCTTGAATCGACTCTAAGTAGGATCAGTCAGTTGATTAAAAGTGCTGACGGTTGTGTTCTGGGATTTTACCGAGTTTCGGGACAGATTTTTTCAGCCAAGCGCTCGACCTTTCCGTCTATTCCCGTCCCGATGTCGGGAGACGAACCGCATGATCATTTACGCGACGACGAGAACGGTGGCTATCACGGCAGGGAAGCTACAGGTGCGACGAAGAGCCTTTTGGAAGCTGAGCCGCAGCAGTGTTTTCCCACCGACATCTGTGCGGCGACGAATGCGACACCGCATGCGACAGCTGCGACGGAGGCGACTGCCCTGACAATACCTCCTACAACTGGCGTTAATAGTAAAGGCGGCTGCAGCGGCTGCTTCTGCCGCGGAGATGACGGCGAAAGCAGCGAAGGTGGTAACGAGCTCGCGCCGCCGCCACCGCCGGGGTCCGCGGCGTGGCTATGGCTGTGGATGTGGTCGCGGCGCGACGTGCTGCTGATGAGCACGGCGTTCCTCTTCTTCTTCGTGGCGTTCAACGCGCTGCAGAACGTCGCGACGAGCCTCCACGGCGGGAGCAACCTCGGCGCGCTCTCCATGGGCGTGCTTTACGCCGTCATTGTCGTCACCGCGCCGCTCGCGCCCTTCCCAATCCGCCTCTGGCGCGCGCGCGCCGCCATCCTCGTCGCGCAGACGGGATTTTGGGCTTTTATCGGGTCCAACGCGTTCAATATCAAGTGCGTGCGTGTGTAGGCAACCACGTTCACGTTCACGTTCGCGTTCACGTTCACGCGTTCACTATCAAATGCGGCATACCGCGTTCACGAGTGCGTGTGTAGACTCTCGCCAAAACGCGATTATGATCGGGTCACCCGGTAGTGTATTTTTATATATATAATTCTCAAAAATCGCTCACAAGGACTACGGGGTGCTGTGCTTCTGGCGGACAGGGCGTCAAATTCAAACGATTGCGCCCTGCGGAGATGCTCCCGATGCTCCCGATGCTCCCGATGCTCTCAATGCTCCCGATGCTCCCGATGCTCCCGATGCTCCCGATGCTCCCGATGCGAGCGGTGCACTCAATGCTCCCATGCTCGTCGAAATAGTGTTCCCGTTCCGACGGAGTAACATCGCCGTGAGATTTCTCAACAAAAATCGAGAGCACTGGATGCATGCACAATTGCCTTTCCGCGTTTCCACCATCTCCGTTAATCGAATCATCCCGTCCCGTCGCGTATACTACGCACGTGGCAGGTGGCTGCTTCTGCTCGCGTCGTGCTACCTCGGAGTCTGCTGGTCCGTCGTCTGGGTGGCTCAGGTGTGCTCTCACTCTCTCTCACGCGCTCTCTCTCTCTCATGTGACGTTGGGTGGATCAGGTGACACTCTTCGTCTCCTCGCCCCTTCCCATCGCTCTCTCTCTTCTTCCGTCCTCTCAGGTGACCCTCTCAATATCTCACGCTCTCTCAACAACTCATCCCCTCTACGTGCCTCTTCGTTTTCGCAGGGAGTGTATCTCGTTGCTGCCGCGGCCGTCTACAGTAAACGTTACAACAAGCCTATGGATGCTGTGGTAACCGAGTTTAGCTCCCTTTTTGGCGGAATTTTCGCCTTTAATCAGATTATAGGAAACGCAATCACTTTCACCGTCTCGCAACTCTCCTACTCCTCCTCTTCCTCCTCCTCCTCCTCCCTTCCTCCCACCACCGTCACCATACTCATTATAGTGCTTTGCATGTGCCTCGCTATAGGCTCCTTGCTCTCCTGGTTCATTCGTGATCTCAAGCCAATAGAAGACTGCCAAGTGGACGACGCTACCCTGAATTTCAAGCGCCCCGTTGCAGCGCTGGTTCCCTGTCCGTCGATTTCATCCAGTAGATCGCTTTCAATCTTCACCGTTGATTGGGAGGAGGTAAAGGAGGAGGTGGAGGAGGAATTAGAAACAGTAGAGGAGGGAGATGAGGAAGAGGAGGAGGAGGAGGAGGAAGAGGAGGAGGAGGAGGAGGAGGAGGCAGAGGGCGACAAAGGGAAGGTAGAAGAGAAGGAAGAGGGGGGAGAGGGGAAACAGAGTGCAGAGGATGGGAAGGGAGAGAAAGGGGAGGGTGGGCTGGGAGAGAGAGGGAGTGTGTGTGTAGGAGGTACCGGGACAACTGACAACTTTACTGACGTTTCATCAAGCCTTGCTCGTGCAGGCAACCCATCCCAACCGCACTGTACCTCTCAGCAAACCGGGTCCCTCAGCACAAACCAGTCCTCTACCACACACTCTTCTCTCAATCCCTCCACCCGCCGGCCCAGACTCGTGAGGCAGATGACCTCCGACTCGAACCTAACGCCTTTTGAGGCGCCTCAAAACTCCTCTACCGCACACTCTTCTTCCCACAATCCTTCCACCCGTCAGCCCAGACTTGTAAGGCAAATGACCTCCGACTCGAACCTAACACCTGCCTCTCCGAACCTAACCAGATTAAAGTCGAGCCTGTCCATCAACTCCAGGTCCGGCCGAACCATAGCTTCGTTCCAAGCCCCGTCCCTCCCCCGAACCTTGTCCCGGTCCACTTCGACGAACTTCTCAAGGCAGCGTACTTTGTCTGTTTCTGCGGCGACCGGGCGGCCAACTTTGACTCGGTCTGTGACTATGAAAAGGATGACGGTGACAGTGGGTGGGGGGAAGAGGGAGGGGGAGGGGAGGAACGCGTGGCAGCTGCTGTTTGATCGAAAGCTGCTGCTGCTGATTCCGCTGCTCTTCTACTCGGGACTGCAGTCTGCTTATATCAGGTACAACTCATGCTCCTATACTGCACCCCATCCCATCCCATCCCATCCACTCCATCCCTCCCTCCCATCCCTCCCATACCTCCCATCACTCCCACCTCCATCCCCCACATTGCAGTGCGGACTTCACGCGCTATGTGGTGCAGCCGCTGCTGGGGGCCCTTTCCGCCCCATCTGCATCCCTCTCAACCCATCCTCCTCATCCCTCCCATCCCTCCAATCCACCCATGGCAGTGCGGACTTCACATGCTATGTGGTGCAGCCGCTGCTGGGAGCTGCTGTCTGCCCCATCCGACCCCATCTGCCCCATCCCTCCCATCTATCCCTTCCTCACCATCCCACCCCTCCCTCCGCAGCGCTGACTTCACGCGCTATGTGGTGCAGCCGCTGCTGGGAGCGCAGTGGATGGGCGGAGCCATGATGGTCTTTGGAGTCTCCATTGCCGTCGTGAGTGCATTGCAAGCTAGTCTGTTTTTTTTTAGCCCACTCGAAACGAGGTGACGTGCCGAATACAGACTAATTGCATGCACTAACGACTCAGAAGTCAACTGCTTTAGAAACTCACTCACAACTCGCTTGCACAAGGTTGCAAGGTCTATTGTAGGCTAATACAAACCGTATGGAAGTGAGTACATGCTAATGCAAGCTTATTGCAAGCGCTTGCAAACAGTTCCAAGCAACTGCAAGCTAAACCATCTAAATACACCTGTCACCATCAAGATCTTTTTAGGCGCCTCAAAAACAAATATACCTGTCGTCATCAAGACTTTTCAAAAAGGTCAAAATGTTTAGGCATGAAGTGAGGGAAGGAGAAAGCACAGAGAAAACACCTCGTGTACTCTTCATTTCTCTCCTGCTCATCTTCCTGCTGCTCTGCTCCATGCCTCTCCGTCCCCTCCTTCCCACCTTCCAGTGTTGTTTCTTCGCAGTTCGCTTCGCCAAAGGGCTCTCCTCGATTCGCCTCATGCTGCTGCTGGGAGCTGCCTCGCAAATAACCGTGCTCGTGCTCACATGGGTCTTCCAGAGCAGGTGGGTGGCTATGCAAGTAATGACAGATAGAAGAAAGTGCCGTATAGATGGCTCACTGGCAGCTGCCTCGCAGATAACCATGCTCGTGCTCACATGGGTCTTCCAGAGCAGGTGAGAGATCACTGAGTCCTGTGCCGTAGATGGCGCATGGCTCACTGGCAGCTGCCTCGCAGATAACCGTGCTCGTGCTCACATGGGTCTTCCAGAGCAGGTGAGAGATCACTGAGTCCTGTGCCGTAGATGGCGCATGGCTCACTGGCAGCTGCCTCGCAGATAACCGTGCTCGTGCTCACATGGGTCTTCCAGAGAAGGTGAGAGATCACTGAGTCCTGTGCCGTAGATGGCGCATGGCTCACTGGCAGCTGCCTCGCAGATAACCGTGCTCGTGCTCACATGGGTCTTCCAGAGCAGGTGAGAGATCACTGAGTCCTGTCTGTAGATGGCGCATGGCTCTCTGGCAGCTGCCTCGCAGATAACCGTGCTCGTGCTCACATGGGTCTTCCAGAGCAGGTGGGTGGTGGGTGGTTGATGGCAGGTGGGTGGTGGGTGGTTGATGGCAGGTGGGTGGTTGATGGCAGGTGGGTGGTTGATGGCAGGTGGGTGGTTGATGGCAGGTGGGTGGTTGATGGGAGCAGGTGAGGGAACAGAGGCGAGTGCCTTACAGATAGCTCACTGGGTGCTGCCTCGCAGATAACCGAGCTCGTGCTCACATGGGTCTTTCCAGAGCAGGTGGGTGGTTGATGGTTTGATTTGATTTGAAGTCCCAGCTGTAGCATCTGAACAAGCAGGAACAGGGGCCACTGCTTACCACAATCTGGTCTGCTTCCCCACTGACTTTTGAGTCGACTCAAAAGTCACCTAGCTGTAGCATCTGAGCAAGGGCCACTGCTTACCACAATCTGGTCTGCTTCCCCACTGACACACCCATCGTTCCTTTCCTTTGATGGTTCGATTGAGTTCTCACATGTCTCAAAGCTCGGACCGTTCCTCGTTGAGACCTGCTGCCTGCTTGTAATGGCTCCTTTGCTCAATAGCCATCAGACCGTCCTGGTTCTTCACCTCCTGACCCCCCACTCCCGCCTCCCTCCTCCTCCTCCTCCTCCTCCTCCTCCTCCTCCTCCTCCTCCTCCTCCTCCTCCTCCTCCTCCTCCTCCTCCTCCTCCTCCTCCTCCTCCTCCCCCACCTTCTCCATTTCCCACTCCCCCCTCCTTCCTCCTCCTCTCCAGAGCCAAGTCAGCACCAGCGGCATTCGCGCTGGAGTGCAGCTGTGCTGCTCGTTCACTCCCCCGGAATAACTGGCTCCCTCTGAGTTAGGGTTTCCTCAACGCTAGGCTTTTCTTCACCCGGATTAACTCAACGATAGGCTTTTCTTCACCCCCCTTTCCCACCCTCTTTCCAGACCAATCTCCCAGCCAGCAGCGTTCGCGCTGGTGTTCAGCTGTGCGCTGCTGTGGGAAAGCCACCGCCACCGCCTTCCAATCGCAGATCACAGCGCTCCTGCCATTGGTCTTCCCCTCTGACGTGGTAAGCTGCCATTGGTCGTGGCCCATTGTTTCATCACGAAATGAAAGAGTTCCTGTTCGCACTATCTTCAATGCCTTGATCCTTCTAGGATGCAGTGTGCGGGTATTGGATCAAAGCGTACGCTGCATCCAGTGTACGCTGCATCCAGTGTACGCTGCATCCAGTGTACGCTGCATTCTCCCTCTCATGCCGCCCCCTCTTCACGAGCTCCCCCTGCTCCCTCCCTCCCCTCTCCCCCCCAACGATCTCCCCACTTCAACGCCTTGACCCCTCACAGGACGCAGCATACGCGCATTGGATCGCGTGGAGCAGTGCGGCCTGCTCCGCCTACTTCCTCGCCAGCCCATACATCGCCACGCCCATCAAGAACTCCCTCCTCCTCGTTGTTTTGCCCCTCTCCGTTATACTCGCTGCTGTCGCTGTCAATATTAGACCACCAGGGCAGGCGAAACTATGTGAAGGGGTGTGAGGAAACAGGGGTGTGAGGAAGAGGGTAAGTGCGGGAGAAGGGATGTGAGCAAGCTGCAGGGCGCTCATGCATCAATGGATGGCCATCTCCTCTCCTGGCATTCACTGTTGATTTGTTTTGTTCTAAAATATCAATCTATTCAATTTATTTCTCACAAAAAACCCTCTGTAAATCAGCGTTGAGTGTTGGAAGCTGGTATGCTCTCCAAGGCAGCAGAGACCCATATGAATCGCCTCTGTTTCCGTTCTCTTTGATGGGGATTGCGAATCCAATGATGGTTCTTGTCCTCGCTGTTTACAGAGTGCAAAGCCAAGCGAACAACTTCTGTAACATGTACGAACTCCACAGTGAAGAAGTATGGTATGGTTTAGTGTTTTCACATGAACGTGTGCCGTACATTTGATCAGCCTGTTGTTGGCTTAATTCTTATTTATTGATACCAAGCACAACACCGACGTCAAGCTAAGTCCCTGCACCGGGTTCCGACAGCTCTGGCCATTATTGATCGACAGGTGGGGGAGCAAGGTTCGGCACCTCAGGTCGTTTAAAGTTCACAGGCATGAAAGCTAAGGCTGGCGGCAGCTCTGGTTATCTGATTCTGACAGCAACGGCAGCGAAGATGATGGAGAGGAGGCAGGAGGCGAGAAGAAGGCTGGAACCCTTCACACCCCTTCACACCCCTTCACCTCGCTCCTCACACCCCTTCACCTCGCTCCTCACACCCCTTCACCTCGCTCCTCACACCCCTTCACCTCGCTCCTCACACCCCTTCACCTCGCTCCTCACCCCTTCACCTCGCTTCACCTCGCTCCTCACACCCCTTCACCTCGCTCCTCACACCCCTTCACCTCGCTCCTCACACCCCTTCACCTCGCTCCTCACACCCCTTCACCTCGCTCCTCACACCCCTTCACCTCGCTCCTCACACCCCTTCACCTCGCTCCTCACACCCCTTCACCTCGCTCCTCACACCCCTTCACCTCGCTCCTCACACCCCTTCACCTCGCTCCTCACACCCCTTCACCTCGCTCCTCACACCCCTTCACCTCGCTCCTCACACCCCTTCACCTCGCTCCTCACACCCCTTCACCTCGCTCCTCACACCCCTTCACCTCGCTCCTCACACCCCTTCACCTCGCTCCTCACACCCCTTCACCTCGCTCCTCACACCCCTTCACCTCGCTCCTCACACCCCTTCACCTCGCTCCTCACACCCCTTCACCTCGCTCCTCACACCCCTTCACCTCGCTCCTCACACCCCTTCACCTCGCTCCTCACACCCCTTCACCTCGCTCCTCACACCCCTTCACCTCGCTCCTCACACCCCTTCACCTCGCTCCTCACACCCCTTCACCTCGCTCCTCACACCCCTTCACCTCGCTCCTCACACCCCTGCGCCTCACTCCTCACACCCCTTCACATGGTTTTGCCTGTCCGGGTGGTCTAATCTTGACAGCGACAGCAGCGAGGACGACGGAGAGGGGGCAGACGAGGAGGAGGAGGGAGTTCTTGATGGGCGTGGCGATGTATGGGCTGGCGAGGAAGTACGCGGAGCAGGCCGCACTGCTCCAGGATATCCAATGCGCGTATGCTGCGTCCTGTGAGGGGCCAAGGCGTTGAAGTGGGGAGACGTGGGGGGTGGGAGGGGGGGAGTGGGAATGAGGGCATGAGAGGAATCAGAGGACACAGCAGGCAGCGCTGCTCCATGCGATCCAATGCGCGTACTGCATCCTGTCAGGGGTCAAGGCGTTCAAGTGGAGAGATCAAGGGGGGGGGGGGGGACGGGAGTGAGAGAGAGGGCACGAGAGGAGGCACATGGAGGCAGCACTGCTCCGGGAAATCACAGGCGCGTATGCTGCGTCCTGGAGGGATCAAGGCGTTGAGACGGGTAGATTGTGAGCGGAGTGGGTGGGGTTGAGGGCAGGAGAGAAAGCAGAAAGGGGCAGGAGAGTGATCCAATGTGCCTCGGATGTGGCAATATGGATGCTCTATGCAATCCAATGCGCGTATGTGCGTATCCTGTGAGGGTTCAAGACGTTCAATTGGGGAGATTTTTGAGTCGACTCAAAGGTCACCTCGTATGCGCGTATGATGTGAGGGTTCAAGATGTTCGAGTGGGGAGATTGTCGGAGGAAGACATTGAAGGATAATATCCCCACTTGGTGACTTTTGAGTCGACTCAAAAGATTGTCGGAGGAGGACATTGAAGGATAATCTCCCCACTTGAAGTTGAAGGGTTGAAGCGAGGGGCGCACGTGTGGAAGGAGGATGGGAGGGGAGTGATTGAGAGGGGGGACGAATGTATGCTGTAGGCTACATTTTGTGTGGTAACGATGGATCACGACAAATGGCAGCTTACCACGTCAGAGGGGAAGACCAATGGCAGGAGCGCTGTGATCTGCGATTGGAACGCAGTGGCGCCGATTCCCCACAGCAGAGCACAGCTTAACACCAGCGCGAATGCTGCTGGCTGGGACATGGCTCTGGTGAATAGCGGGGGGGAGGAGGATGGAGGAAGGAGGAGGATGGAAAAAAGGTCAGATTCGAGATTGGTGGGCGTGACTCTGATGAAACAGCAGAGCACAGCCCGCCATTTCATTCTCCTCCTTCCTCCATTTGAGAATCGAAACAGCAGCGCACAGCTGCACACAGGCACGAATGCTACCGGCGTTGACATGGCGCTGTCAACAACACTGGCGTTAGGGGAGAATCAGGACAGTCAAGCAGAGTTGACTTTTGAGTCGACTCAAAAGTCGGCGCTGACATGGCGCTGTCAACAACACTGGCGTTAGGGGAGAATCAGGACAGTCAAGCAGAGTTGACTTTTGAGTCGACTCAAAAGTCGGCGCTGACATGGCGCTGTCAACAACACTGGCGTTAGGGGAGAATCAGGACAGTCAAGCAGAGTTGACTTTTGAGTTGACTCAAAAGTCGGCGCTGACATGGCGCTGTCAACAACACTGGCGTTAGGGGAGAATCAGGACAGTCAAGCAGAGTTGACTTTTGAGTCGACTCAAAAGTCGGCGCTGACATGGCACTGTCAACAACACTGGCGTTAGGGGAGAATCAGGACAGTCAAGCAGAGTTGACTTTTGAGTCGACTCAAAAGTCGGCGCTGACATGGCACTGTCAACAACACTGGCGTTAGGGGAGAATCAGGACAGTCAAGCAGAGTTGACTTTTGAGTCGACTCAAAAGTCGGCGCTGACATGGCGCTGTCAACAACACTGGCGTTAGGGGAGAATCAGGACAGTCAAGCAGAGTTGACTTTTGAGTCGACTCAAAAGTGACATGGCGCTGTCAACAACACTGGCGTTAGGGGAGAATCAGGACAGTCAAGCAGCAACTGAGTGAAGGAGGTGTGAGATGCTGGGTTAAGATGGAGTGGAAGGGAGCGGATGGATCGGATCGGAACAGTCGGTGTATCTCTGGAGAAGAGGAAAGGAAGCAGTGCCTCTCGCTCTGGGAGTAAAGCACATGCGATCACATGCCATCAACCACCCACCTGCCCCCCAGTGACCCACCTGCTCCAAAAGGGCCATGTGAGGACGAGCACGAATTTCTGCGAGGCAGCACCCAATGAGCCCTCACCTGCCCTCAAAGATTCCTGTGAGCCATCTGTGAGGCACATACCTCTATAATCTCTCACCTGTCCTGAAAGAGCCATGTGAGAATGAGCACGGCTGTCTGCGAGGCAGCACCCAGCAGCAGCATGAGGCGAATCGATGAGAGCCCCTTGGCGAAGCGAACTGCAAAGAAACAACACTGGGGGTGAGGGGGGTGAGGGGGAAGTGCAAGGAGAGGTATGGAGCAAGCAGCAGGATGAGCAGGATTGGAGTCGAGAGTACTCACAGACACGAGCCCCCTTGGACAAGGGAACTGTGTGTGAGGCATGTAACATTCGTTTTGGCACACGCCTTCGTCAGTGCCATTGGATTGCAAAACAACTGTTTTGAGGCGTATCAAAGCAGCACCATAGGATTACAGAAGAAGAAGAAGAAGAAAACACTAATAATAATTATTATTACAGTATTCATTATTATAAAGGAGTGATAGTAAGACTAATATAAATATTTGATATTCCCGATAATGCTAATGATAATAATAACAGTAATAACTTTTTGTATTATTATCATATAAAAAACTACTGCAATATCAACTCACGACGGCAATGGCGACTCCAAAGACCATCATGGCTCCGCCCATCCACTGCGCTCCCAGCAGCGGCTGCACCACATAGCGCGTGAAGTCAGCACTGAGGAGGGAGGGGTGGGAGGGATGAGAGCATATTAGTCAGCAACAGTTGTCAGCTGTCCTCTATTCCATCCTCCATTTGGTGTTCAGAGTAGTTCTCAGTCGCCTAAAACATCGCCTACAAAAGGCGCCTGAAATACACCTTCTGACCGAACTGCACCTGCCAATTCTCTCCATCGTCCATTGGGTGTTCAGAACTTTCGAGTTTACCTGACTTCCCCGGAACATACCTGCCTTCTCGTTCCCCTCTTTGCCTCTTTTGCACTTCAAGCCTAGGTGTATGAATAACTCTATTGATGAATCATACCTGATATAAGCAGCCTGCAGTCCCGAGTAGAAGAGCAGCGGAATCAGCAGCAGCAGCTTTCGATCAAACAGCAGCTGCCACGCGTTCCTCCCCTCCCCCTCCTTGCTCCCCCCGCCCACTGTCACTGTCATCCGTTTAAACGTCGCAGACCGAGTCAAAATTGGCCGCCCGGACACCGCAGAAGCGGACACCGACCGCTGCCGTGAGAAGTGGGTCGCAGAGGTTCGGGACATAGTGCGGGAGAGGGAAGGCACTTGTAACGAAGCTATGGTTCGGCCGGACCTAGAGTTGATGGTCAGGCTCGAGGTTGATCTGGTTAGGCTCGGAGAGGCACGAGGCAGGTTCGGGCCGAGCCTGGGTGTGTGCCTTGGGATGGTGGCCCGGCGGGAGGTAGAATCGCAGGAAGAGCATGAGGGTGAGGTTTGGAATGAGCGGAGGGAGCGGGATGGCTGAGAGGTACGGTGCGGTTGGGATGGATTGCCTGCAGGAGCAGTTAGTATAACGTCACTAAAGGAGTCGTCAGGGATCCCTGCATCCCCTATACCCACACTCCCCTTCTCACCCTCGCCAACCACCTCGCCTCTCTCACCCTGCCCACTCTCTCCCCTCTGCTCCTCCTCTCCCTCCCCCCCCTCCTCATCCACGCCTGACAGTATTGCTCTCAAGTGCCGCTTCGCCTTATTCCCACCCCTCGCTCCCCCTTCCCTCTCTTCCTCCTCCCCCTCCTCCGCCACCTCTTCCGCCCCCTCTTCCGCCCCCTCTTCCTCCCCCTCTTCCTCCTCATCTGCCTCCTCTTCCTCCTCCACCAACCCTTCCATCTCCTCCCAATCAACGGTGAAGATTGAAAGCGCCCTGCTGGATGAAATCGACGGACAGGGAGCCAGCGCGGCGACTGGGCGCTTGAAGTTCAGGGTGGCGTCGTCTACCTGGCAATCTTCTATTGGCTTGAGATCACGGAGGAGCCAGGAGAGCACTGAGCCGATAGCGAGGCAGATGCAAAGCACTATAATGAGTATGGTGACAGTGGTGGGAGGAAGGGAGGAGGAAGAGGACTTGGAGGAATAGGAGAGTTGCGAGACGGTGAAAGTGATTGCGTTCCCGATAATCTGATTAAACGCGAATATTCCGCCAAAGAGGGCGCTAAATTCGGTCACCACAACATCCATAGGCTTGTTGTAACGTTTACTGTAGACACCCGCGGCAGCAACGAGGTACACTCCCTGCGAAGCGAAAACGAGGAGGCATGTAAAGGGGATGAGTGGTTGAAGGCCCCAGGAGTGATCTTGTGAAAGCAGACGTAGGAGACTATAGAAGAGTTTCATTCATGCCATTCAGGTGTTAAGCCTATGAGGAAAGAAGGAGAGCAGCTGACAAGGAAAAGCACAAACACACACACACACACACACACACACACACACACACACACACACACACACACACATACACACACACACACACACGCACGCACACACACATACACACACACACATACACACACACACACACACACACGCACGCACACACACACACACGCACGCACACACACACACACACACACACACACACACATGCGCGCGCGCACACACACACACTTTACAAATCAAACTCATCTGAGAGAACGGGACAAGAGACGAAGAGCGTCACCTGAGCCACCCAGACAACGGACCAGCAGACTCCGAGGTAGCACGACGCGAGCAGAAGCAGCCACCTGCCACGAAGACGCATTGGGGCGGGACGGGGCGCGGGGTACTAGGGGCATGAGAACGTGTTGGAATGAGTCTCTTGTATCGACCTTCGTCAGGGACGGAACGACAGAGCATTAAGAGCATCCTCCGTATAGGCTTTCTGCTAATTATTTTGTAATCCCGTCCCAACTAGGACCCAAATTTATCGATGCACATTGAATGATCCACATTTGTGTGACAATACACTACCACGCACTCTATAGTAAACGCGTTGGAGCCGATAAAAGCCCAGAACCCCGTCTGCGCCACGAGAATTGCGGCGCGCGCTCGCCAGAAGCGGATGGGGAAGGGCGCGAGCGGCGCGGTGACGACAATGACGGCGTAAAGCACGCCCATGGAGAGCGCGCCGATGTTGCTCGCGCCGTGGATGCTCGTCGCGACGTTCTGCAACGCGTTGAACGCCACGAAGAAGAAAAGGAACGCCGTGCTCATCAGCAGTATGTCGCGCCGCGACCACACCCACCGCCACATTCGCGCCGCGGGCGCACATGCTGCTGCTTCTCCTCCGCTGTTGTCTTTCGAATAGTCGACGATTTCTGACAGCGCTGCAGGCTCAGTCGTCTCGGTGGGCGATGCGCTCGCTGCTGTCGCATCCGGCGTCGCATCTGTCGCCGTACTGCTGTCGGAGATTTGGATTTTTCGCCAACCGAAGCTCCAATTGCCGCCTCGGCTGGGGAACCACCACAGGAGGTTCCTCGGGGCGCGTGCAGCAGCTTCGGTGCCCATCTCGCCGCCATTCTCCTCGTCGACTCGATCTTGCACGTTCGACATGCTGACTGGCTGTATGGTCACCAATTTAGGGTGCTTTACGCCGACAACAGGTTGGTATCGCTTTGAGATTTCTCAATAGGATGATGCTATCCCGGCAGCACCATCATTATGATAATGCCGCGAACCGAGCGACGCGATCTGCTTTTTAGGAGAGGCGAGACGGTCACAATTTCTCAAATCGGATTAGTCTCAGAGAGATTGTCCCTTCCGAGGATTCTCAAAAGCGAATCTGTGACCTAGAGCAATTAGTGGATATAATCGGAGCATCAGTAAGATGTACTACGCATTATTTTTAGAACACTCCAAGAGACCGTGAGAGTTGTGACCTGTCTTGTCTCGCCCTCCTAGAAAGGACTTTTTAGGCGCCTCAAAAGCCTTCCTCGAGCGATTGGCGGCTCTGATCAGAGCATCTCATATGAAAGGAAGATTCAGCGGTCGCGTCTTCTCGTGCTCCGTCGACATAAGCTACACGTATTGTCTCAATCCATCCGAGCGTAGTGCATTGCCACGTGTGGCTCGAGACACACTGTTGTTCAACCAGAAGACAAACAGAGGCTCGAGTCTGGGTAAAGAATACCCAGCTGTCCAACGCTGGCTACTGATAATGACTGCCCAGCTGTCCGTTGAGGGGCCAGCTAGCTGGCCCAAGTTGCGTTTTGAGTCGACGAGTCAAAACGCACATAAAGACTACCCAGCTGTCCAACGCTGGCTACTGATAAGAGATTCGTTATGGGGCTAGCTGGCAAGTTGCGTGGGCCCAGACCAGCTCCGAGCAGAGAAACCCCCCACCGCGTCTTGGCCTGTAATATAACAAAAACCCCAGCCTTCGCTGCGGAATCGTCTGCTCTGTGGATCTCGTCTCGTCACCCAGCAACGGATGAGGGAAGAAAGGATTTTTGCAGGCAGAGGGAGGGAAGGTGGGCGTGGAAGGGAGGCAAACTAGGTGGGGTTGGTGCTGCATCTCTTCCTTCGAGAAATTTATGGCCTGTCATGGGAAATCGCACAAAATTTAGGGTCCAGTTCTATATGAGTTGAGACTCGCTCCGGGAATTATAATGTAATAATATACAGGACAGGATGTTGAGCATTTTCCACAAAATTACTTACAAACGGAATTAGATCCAGACGACAACGCCTACTTTAAGACTGGGAAGTGTCGTTCGGTACTTCGGCTTTTCGATAAGGAACAAAGGAGTGTGGCCAGTTAAATGAAAAAGGACAAGCGCACTTAAAATTGTGCAGCGCACCACCGCTTTGTACCTTTTTTATTTAGTGAAATGGGAGATAATGTAGGCTTCAAATTTGGAGCAGCACCGAAGCGCTCAATACAGTTTCTGCTGTCTAGCGTCGCGACTCGACTCGAGACGCCTAAATTGCACACATCGCGGGTCGCTTTGGAGTTGGGAGTGGAGCTGGTCTGAGCCAGATGGATGTTGGTCAACTGACAACAGTGCTGTCCTGTCCATCCACTCGGAGCGCTTTCGGATGGCTAATCAGCGGAACGGAAATTCCCTCCCATTCGCCTTCGCAAGATGGATTGACGACACGAGACTCGAACCGACTCCTACAGTAAGTAGCCCGTCAAACGCCCACTGCGGATTTTGAATTACAGCAGTTGATGCAGCACAAAAACCTTAAAACAGCAATTCTTAAAGCTCCGGTATAAAATTGAAAGGAGGGGGTCAAAATCCTAAGGAACTTGGAAAGTTGCCCCAAAACTGTGAGGCACACTGTAAAACCCAGAACCTCACTGACAAATGTATACTGGAGCTTTAAAACTCATACAACCAATGTCCGACCTACTACCATGTTGAAAACAATTTGGCGGCCATCTGCACTTTAAGACACACAATTACGTAATCTTAAGCCTTTTCAGTGGCTTGATTTCTACAAATAAGGGGAAACGAAGCGCCAGACTTAACCTAAATTCGTGCAGCAGGTTTCAACAGATTTACAGGTACAACAGTGAGGTTCGGGACCTCGGTTTGTCTTGAATCTACAAGCACAACAGCTAGGTTCGGCACCTTTGCTCGCCTAATATTCTCCGGCACGGTAGCTAGGGTCGGGAGCTCCGGTCGTCTTATTTTCGTAGCAATGGCGACGAGGGAGACAGAGAAAGGGCAGAAGGCGAGAAGGAGGGAGTTCTTGACGGGCGTGGCGATGTATGGGCTGGAGAGGAAGTAGGCGGAGCAGGCCGCACTACTCCACGCGATCCAATGCGCGTACACTGCGTCCTGTGAGGGATTAAGGTGTCGCAATGAGCAGATGGAGGGGGGAGTGGGTGAGAGTGAGGGCACGAGAAGAAGCATATGGAGATAGCTGGCATCGGTGCTGCCACACGAGATCTAGTGCGCGAGTAGGATGCATCGTGAAAGGATTACAACTTCGAAGAGGGAAGATTGTGGGAGGAGGATATGGACGGATGAGGACGTGGAGGGAGTGAGAAAAGCTAGTAATGGGAGAGGCGAAGGGGGCAAAAATTGAGAATTATGAACCAAGGGCAGCTTACCACGTTAGATGGGAAGACCAACGGCAGGAGTGCTGTGATCTGCGATTGAAACGCAGTGGCATCGATTCCCCACAGCAGCACACAGCTGAACACCAGCGCGAATGCTTGAAACGCATGTCAACACATGGCTCTTGTCAATATGGGGGGGGAGGAGGATCGAGAAAATTGTCAAAGTATATGCATGTTACCTAGGTGTAGGCTGTAGTGGGGTAGCCAATATGGGGTACAGCCCCTTTTAGGGTTTCATACTTGTACCCAACTCTTTCATAGTTCATTCATTCCTGCTGCTAGATTCTGACATGGTTTCAGAGCACTAGGTCCGTAGGACCGTTTTTTTTTTCGGGCCCACCTACCGTTGCGGTTACCGCGCTACCCCACGTGTTGTCCTGCGCCTGCCTGCCTGCCTGCCTTGCCTTGTGACGTGCTGCGCTGCGCGCGCCGTCCTGCAGCCCTCGTGCTGCCTACTGCTGCCCTAGGCCAGAGCGCCGCCCCTGCAGGCCCGTAAGGCTCACACGCCGCCCCTGCAGGCCCGTAAGGCTCACACGCCGCCCCTGCAGACACGTCAGGCCCGCGAGCCGCCCCTGCAGTCCCGTCAGGCCAGAGCGCCGCCCCGCCAGGTCGCTGACGCGCCAGGCCAGGTCGCTGCCCCGCGCGTCGCGCCCACAGCCCGCGCGTCGCGCTGCAGCCCCGCGCGTCGCGTCCGCTGCCCGTGCGTCGCGCTGCAGCCCCGCGCGTCGCGTTCGCTGCCCGCGCGTCGCGCTGCAGCCCCGCGCGCCGCGGCTGCCGTCCTCACGCAGCCCGCGGCGGCATCGCGCGCTGCGTCCGCAGCTCACGTAGCGCGCTGCAGCCCCGCGCGCCACGGCTGCCCCTGGACGCCGCCGTCGCTCCTGCAGCAGCTGTCGCGGAGCGCCCTGCCACAGTCGCGGCCCCGCCCTGCTGCAGCTGCCGCGGAGCCTTCTGCCGCCGTCGCGGCCCTGCCCTGCAGCAGCTGCCGCGGCTGCCGCGGAGCCTTCTGCCGCGGTCGCGGCCCCGCCCTGCAGCAGCTGCCGCAGAGCCTCCTGCCGCCGTCGCGGCCCTGCCCTGCAGCAGCTGCCGCGGAGCCTTCTGCCGCCGTCACGTCCCTGCCCTGCAGCAGCTGTCGCGGACCTCCCCTACCTCCGACGCGGTCCTGCTCTGCCGCAGCTGTCGCGGCCCCGCCGTCGCCGCCGTCGTGCGCCTGCCCTTCCCGCCACTGGTGAGCACCTGCCTACCTGCCTGCCTGCCACGCCTGCCTGCCTGCCGCGCCTGCCCTGCCCGCGCTACTACTACTGCTAGGCTGCTGCTGCTGCTGCTGCTGCTGCTGCTACTACTGCTATTGCTGCTACTGGCGGTGGCCAGATGCAGCTCCAGCGACGTTCACGCGAGTCTCTCACGCCCCAGCAGCTTAGTGAGTGGTACGCTAGTTGGGGTTGTGGCGGTCACCGTCGTAGCTGTCGCCCTGGAGCTGGTCAGTTGGGAGCGTCTGGCAGTGGCCAGCTGCAGCTGCAGCGGCGTCCACGCGAGACACTTACGTCCCAGCAGCTTCACGAGTGGTACGCTCAGAGTAGAGGGTCTTTGAGTACCGTTCGCTGCCCGTACGTCATTCGCACAGGTGATCGGGCCGGTCAGGCTTGCGGGACGCTTGGTCACACACAGTCCCGTTGCTTCGCCCGTCTGAGCGACGCCTGGCGTACCGAGTTTGGCGACGAGGCTGAGCTCCCCACTTGGCTGGAGATGCTTGGACAGAGGGTAGATATCTTTACTCTTGACTATGATGCTATTCTCACTGCCATGTATGCATTGCCTACTAGTGCTGACCGTGCCTGTTCCCTGTGCGTACCGCCTGACCCAGGTATAGAGCCTGCTGCTCTAGGTGCTGGTGAGGCTGCTGCTCTAGGTGCTAGTGCGTCTCCTGCTCTAGGTACTGGTGAGGCTGCTGCTCCAGGTGCTGGTGAGTCTGCTCTCTCTGGTACTGCGCCTGCTGAGGCCTTGTACACCTTCACACTTGACTCAGGTGCTTTCCGCTCCTTCTTTCGCGACAGCACCACCCTCACGCCGCTTCGTCGGACGGTTGCAGTCTCCCTGGCAGACCCCTCTGGGGGTCCAGTCCTTGCGCACTCCTCCACGGTCCTGCCGTGTCCGGCGGTCCCGTCTGGCTCCCTGTCAGGTCTTCACCTCCCCTCGTTCTCTACGAACTTGGTGAGTGGAGCTGACCTACAGGATGTGTGGGTTGACCAGTTCACCCCTGGAGGTCAGCGTGTGACCCACTGTACGTGCTCTCGGACTGGTCGGCACCTGGCCACGTTCACCCGAGCGCCTAGCTCAAGTCTGTACACACTGACCACTGTGTCCCCTCAGGTAGCTGCGTCTGCGTCTGCGTTTGCGTCAGGTCAGCTAGCGCCCCCCTGCTCGTGTCGCGCTTTGTCGCACCAGACCCTCCTTTGGCACCACCGCCTTGGTCACCCCTCGGTGC